AGAAAAGTCTGAAAACTATTCAATCCTATAATCTTAGTGTATATACTGTATATATTTATTTTTAATCATTTGATTCATCTACTTGCCAGTTGGTCCTGTTTAAAAAGCATGTTCTCATCCCTGTCTTGGGATAACACCAGTTCTTGCCTGCTTTTTATCGGTGCTTGGTCTCTGCTTTCTGCTGGATATTCTTTGTATGATAAAGTCTATTGTCGCTTCTCTGTCCACCTTCCTTAATGAGCCACTATACTTGTTCTTTAGCATGTGTGCATTTTGATCTGATTTGTTAGCAAATTTCTATCTAACTAGTACTCGGGGACACCTTGCCTTTAGAGTCAGCCCCATGTTTTAAGTAATAGCGTGACCATACTATCTTACCACTAACAAATGCCATCATTAGAGCTGACAAACCAGGGGTATTCCGAGAATTTACATTCACGAGGATTGATTCAATGTATTTTATATCATATACTTTAACTGTACTGTTTGATATTCTGAATTGTAGTAAATGTAAATATCGAGTCTCTTAATGTATCAATGTATAAAAGTCACATTCCTACAGATTTCATTTATTCAGATGAAACGTGAAAAAGCAAAGAGAGGAGAATGTTAAAGGATTATCATGTTATATTCCATATGACCATGGTGCATTGCACATTGAACATAAATGTGTACATTTTCTTACTGTGCATTATTCCAACTTCATTTAATTAGCAAAGGACTGAAGTTTATTCAATAATTTTGATTTAGATGTGATTTTCTTTGCCTCGATCTAGTCATGAACAGAACCAGGGGCTATAATTTATGAAAGTGAGAGAAATGTCCACTACTATAAGTGGCTGACTCAATGGAAATGTATGCAATGTTTAATTTTGAGCTTAGTTACAGGAACTGTTGATAAACCACAAATATCATATTCATGCATGGCAGTTGAACTAATCTGGACATATTAAAACATGTTCACTATTATTGAACATGTATTGATATTGAGTTGACACGATATTCCATTCATTTTTGTTAGTAAAAGGGTCAATTTTACTCTGCTTAGGAATACAACATCACTGAAATCCTTACACACCACGCTAAAGGAAATGAGGTCCTTGATGAGCTAAGGGGAGAAGGAGTTCTGACTGTACCAAAAAGGCGTCTCTTCATTAAATAGTCGTGGCTTTCCTGGTTGAGAATGGACGGAGAAAGCTGTAAGTTCAATTATTCAAACTGCAAAAGGGCTGGGAATGGGAGATCTACTCCATGTGTATGTTTTGTGTGACATTTTCACTGAAGTGAGCGTAAATGACTATATGTATGTGGGTCAATCCACGTCAAATTAACCAATTGTGTCACCTGACCCCCTTTAATTTTCTTTAAAAATTCACACCAAATGTTCCCCCAAGTGTCTGATAGACAACCTCAATTTTTTTTTGCCCCAAGGTCACACGGTTGCTAAGATATGGCCTTGCCTAGTAACCAGCGCTCAAAATACACGGGGGCGGTGGGCGATTCGCCCCCGTGAGCTACATAATCTCCCCCGTCAGGTTGCTCACGGGGGCGATTGCAAAATTAAAAATCGCCCCCGTGGAATTATAAAATAAAGATTATCTTTTCTGTTATAAATTTAACACAATATTGAGTTTCAATTTTTAAACCTTAAACCAATGAAATAGAACTTAGATTAGCGTGCAAGATTTACCGTTCTATGAGTAGGCCTATTATTACTGATTCAGCTCGCAGTGCAGTGCCGCCATCAGCAGTGGTTATAGGCCTACTGCGCCGTTAGTAACGGCACGTGTGCACGCTGCCGCGCCATGTCTGCTGGAGCTGGAGGCAATCGCGCAAGGGCAGAAACCCCGCCCCCCCCCCCACTCAGTGTTATTTAGGGTACGCATTATGCTTGTTCCCTCTTTTTGAAAGCACCCCCTATCTGAGGGCTGCCAACATTTCCGAACCCCTCTTTCGCGGGCTTTTCGCGGGCTTTTCCTGCCTCGGAGACCCCCTTATTCATGAAAAATGCTGTACTCACCTAAATTCGGAATAATTTCTCAGGAGTCCAAAAAAAACACCCCCTTTTTTAAGAAATCTCCGGGTGAAATGTTAAAACACCCCTTTTTTTTTACAATTCTCGGGCCGGACTTTGTCGCACGAAAAGTACCCCTTTACCGGACATTTTGGTAACACGCATAACCCCTCCTCCCCCCCCCCTCCCCCGGCCCCCTTGGGCTGCCAAGTGAAAATGTGATGTTGAAAATGTGATGTGCATAGAAAAACGTAGATGCCAGGAAAATAATACGGGGGTTCAAAATAGCAACAACAACAAAAATCGCCTCGCCGCTATGCGGCTCGTGGACGATGCTTCGCATGTAAGTAGATGCCAGGAAAACATCACTTACGGGGGTCCAAAATCAGGGGCGAACCAGCCGGCGGCAAGAGGTGGGGGGGGGGGGGAGGGCCAAATCTTGAGAAAATATTTAGCGGCGAATCAGCCAGCCGGCGATCGGCGAATGAGCGGGGGGGGGGGGTCTGGATAAAATTAATGCACATATATTTGTTTAGGGGGGTCCAGTTTTTGGGGAACATTTTTGCGCCGACTCAGCCGGCCGGTGAATATTAAAGCGAGAGGGGGATGCTGGACAGGAGGACCACTAATCTATTATATTTTTTTCAGGGGGGGGGGGGGGGGGGGAGGTAAAGCGCCGTTTTAGCATGACTTTCTTTTTAACTCTTACTTTCACCTATCTCAGGTGAACGTTTATGAAAGTGGGGGGGGGGGGCTAAAGTATTTACGATCAGGTAGAGGGTAGCGAGCGTAAATTGGTGTGTGGGTGGGGGGTTTCGGGGGTTTTAGGCATTTAATTACGGTCAGAGAAGCACAAATATTTTGATGCCGCATTTGTGTCACTGGCAGGTCAGGGGGGGGGGCGTTTTTTATTTAATTTTGTAAGGTAAAGTTTACGTTACTATCCTATTTTTTTTACTGGTTTGGGAGGCTAGGGGGGCGGTAGAATCGGACCGTTGATCCGCGCCTGTCCAAAATAGCACACACACAAAATCGCCTCGCCGCTACGCGGCTCAGTAAAGAAATAATGTAAAGGTTGCTCCGAATAATGAGGAGGAAATTATGTGCAGAACGAGAAAAAATCGAGAGAATGTCTTCACGGGATCAAAGTCAGGAACAGCTATGTAGCTTGTAAATTTGTAAGAGGGAAAATGCTGATTAAAGTGATAATGATGAAATAGCAAATAATTGAAGAGTATCATATGTACCAATTCAATGGAAAAGAGCCCCCGTCAGTACTAAAAGAGCCCCCGTGAGAAGGCTCACGCCCCCGTGGACAAAAAATTAATTTGAGCCCTGCTAGTAACCAATGCACAGTCATAGAAATCGGTCTTTAAAAAGCCAATTACCAACATCATAATTATCATCGAAGGGAGTCGGGTGGCAACTTGTTTGAAAATTTGTTGACTTGACGTGGATTGACCCATATGACTACATCCAGCACTATGTTTCATAAAGTTTCATGAAGTGTTCTGCATAACTGAATCCACATAACTCAGTATAGTACTCTTTGTAGTGCATTAATTGTAGTACTTTGTACAAAAAATCTCAAGAGATCATAATTATTTGAGGCTACTAATTGTACTTGATATGATTCTGAGCAAAGTAACATTTGTGTTAGGGGATGGTGTACTGATAAATGACTACAGAGATGTGAAGGTAAATTATGTCATAAACGTTTAATGATATGTATTAATTTCTTTAATTCACATCCAATGTTTTATTTAGATATCCAACAAGCGAGCAGAAGACGGCACTTGCAAAGGCAGTCATTTCAGAGTTTCCAGCCTTGAGAGACACCTTTGCAAGGGAAATTACAGAAACAATGATCGCACATCTCAGAATCTACTTTGAAGATCATCACAGTTTCATTGTTAAGAAAACTATTTCCAACACTAAGACTCGCCCCAAAGCATCATTTCATTGTGAATTACCCATACACGATGGAGCAGATTGGTCCTCTTATGAATTGCTGGTGCATGTGTTATGAAGGAAAACATAACATTGGGAAGTGTCTTGCAAATGTTGTATGTAACTTCAAGGACATTGCAAAAACTGTTGCAGACAGAAATCAAATCCGGCAGTGCCATAGCTGGTACACAGGAGGAGTTGTACAGCAGCCGGTCGTGCACCATGTTCACAGAGAATCTTTGCAGGAAGCTGAGGGACGTGCTGTACTTCAGCAGAAATTCACAAGCCTGAGTGAAAATGATGAAATAATTGTGACAAGGAAGGTGTCTGTAGGTGGTACAGAGTATCGACCAGGAATGACAGTTATTGTTAGTGAGATGAATGCTATGCCAACATTGGGACAAGTGAAATCAATGTACTAGAATTTTAGATGCATCACAGTGTTCCAAGGCTTGCCCAACATACCTCTAGCTTCTTGAATGCTTGTCCAAGGCTTGCCCAACATACCTGTAGCTTCTTGAATGCTTGTAAATCAAATGAGGATACACTGTATTAATCCCAAAGGAATGCTGTAAAATGTTTCTGTTATTCCAAACTGAACTACATGTAAGATAGATATCAGTTTTTCTAAACTGCATGTGAAAGTTTTGTGTCAAACTTTAAACATGGGCAGCGTACAGTTGAGAATATAACAATAAGCTGTGGGGGGGGGGGGGGGGGGGGAGACGCAGCAGACGCCCATTGTTTGTGAACAAATAATTTGGCCTATTCTTGGCTATACAGTAAACACTATACAGAAACAATACTGAGATGTGCTTATTTGTGCTTATAAAAATAATTGCTTCCTCATTTGTTTGTTTTGTTTATTATCTTTACAGATTAGAAATGGCCAGCTGTAATTTCTGTATGAGTTACGGACAAAAAAAGAAACTGTTGACTGTATCCTCTTCAAGACCTGAAGAACTTCTCCAGAATTTGAAGCCCAAGATTGAGTCCAAGTTTTCTCTCGGCAATCAGGCATACACCATGAAACTGAAACTGGAGCAATTTCAGACATATGTTGATATAGATGAAGATGACATGGACGATGTTAAGTTGTTGCAAAATGGTGGTACCATTATTCTAGAGCAAATTATCACCAATATGAAGCCATCATTGCAGAGTCCACAGAGATCACCAGCAACTGTTGATGCTACACCATCAGCACCTGCAGACGGTCAAGTCCTTCATCTCCAGTGCTCTACCTCATCAGATGTGTCAACTTCTCCATCTGACAAAGATGCTAGTACAGCGAAGAGACGCATCAATACAAAATACCATCCCTACCATTAAAATTAGGGCACACTTTGCAGAAAATGGCCGAAGTACAACAAGGCAAGGGATCCGAAAGTGGAGATGACAATATGTACCACAATGCAAAGAAATTCAGTGAGTGTTGCACAAGTGATTGGTCGTGCTTTATTTCCTCCAATGCCCTCACAACGCTGCATGAACAGAAAAGGAATCGCGTTGAACTTCTCCCTCTCACAGAGGATGTGGTTCATCTTACTAACTTCTTGAAGGAAGGGGAAGAAGAAGTTATCACAGACTGGCTGAAGATATGAGTGATTCAGAAGCATGGAATGACTTGAATGAAGTAACTCTAGTCCAAGTTACCATGTTCAATAGAAGAAGGACTGGGGAGATGTCCAAGATGAAGCTTAGTGACTACAAGAAAATAGATGGAATACCAGATTCAACCGTTGTCAAGTCCCTTTCCCAACTTGAAAAGGAACTGTGTAAGAAGCTGTCTCAGGTGGAGCTTGTTGGGAAAAGAGGCAGATCGGTCCCTGCCCTACATGTACTAACATCTGAGATGGAGGAATGGATTTCTGCTCTAGTTGATAACCGACAGCAAGCAGGAGTCAACACAGAAAATGAGTACTTGTTTGCTCGATCTCATAATATGTCACTGGGGCATATTCAAGCTAGTAATTGTCTACGCAAGTTTATTTGAGTGAGGTCAAGCATCCAGAAACAATTACAGGAACACTCCTGAGGAAACAGCTGGGAACTTTATGCCAGCTTCTTAACTTGAAGGAAAATGAGATGGATATTGTAGCCAATTTCTTAGGACATGACTTGCATGTACATCGAGAATTCTACAGACTCCCAAATGAAGTGCTGCAAGTGGCTAAGGTAACCAAGATCCTACTTACGATGGAACAAGGTGGGGAAGGACTCTCTCAAGGTGAAACACTTGATAATGTACCTGTGCTTAATGAAGGTAAATCAAAGTTTTCATATTGTGGACATCGGACCCACTGCCACGCAACATTATGCAATGATCGACGTGTAGAGCCAAAATTGAATGAAACTTGACATTTTGCATACATTTTTGTACAAAATACTGCTTTTCCTAAATTCCTCTATAACACTTCTAATTGTGTCTTCTAAGCCTTTTGCCTTATCCTCATTGTCTTGAAACTCATCAAGATACATGTCTGAAACAAAAAATCACAAAAACAAAGAAATACATAAAGATAAAAAATACAGTTTCTTTGTGCACATATTCCTCTACATATATAACTATGTAGTCTTTTTTATGCAATTGTTAATTTGTTGTTTTTTCGGTAGAGCTTGGCAATGATGACTTTGAGGTGTCAGATGCAGAGGATGCCATAAATGAGTCACATTCTCCGTGTCTGGATGCAGAGTCTTTGGGGACTCCAGAGAGACATACAAAGAGAAAACACCCACCTAAGATGAAGAATCAGAATATCAGGAAATGGAAGCAATGGAGTCCAGGTGAAAAAGCAGCAGTACAATGTCACTTCCACCGACTTCTTTTGACCAACACTCTTCCTGGCAAATCACAAATTGAGCAGTGCTTAAAAGAGGAGCCCATCTTGCATAAAAGAACCTGGCGTAATATCAAAGATTACATTCGCAACAGTTTCAAGCAAAAGAAAGGCTGCAGGTAAAAAGACTGTAGACTTCCATTAAACACTAATCTTTAGTTTACCTTATGTTTACCAGTGAAGATTGAATTTCCAATGATTACCATTGTGTAAAGTGCTGTGTAAAATAAGAATTTTTTTCCACTTTGTCTATGCTTTGCTCATGCATTAATACCTATTAATGCATGATACTTTTTTTTTTACTTCTTTATTTGAAAGTTTGCAATGGAACTCATTTTTGATAAGTGATCATCTGTCCAATAGTCATTTATTTAACAACACAGTGTAAGTAGATCATCTACAATGAAAGACTTGCACACTGCATTGGTACACGTCATCAAGCAGTATGCATTAAAGCTACAGTCCCATATACGTCCCGGACCGTCCCGGACCATCCGGACCCCATCCGGGGTGATCCGGGATTCGGTCTGTGTTGACACCGTGTTGGCACCGGGGTGGTCCTGGATGGTCCTGGGCAGTCCGGGAGTCGACCCCGGATGTTTTTGACGGTCAAAAACTGCCGGGGTGGTCCGGGACGGTCCGGGACAATAGTTTGATCCGGGGTGATCGGTGTAGCCACCGTGCTGGGTCCGGGGTCATCCGTAGTGGCGCCGGGGCGGTCCGTGTTGATCCGTGGCAGTCCGGGAGTGAGTTATTGACCCCGGATCACCCCGGCGCCCCTACGGATGATCCCGGACCATCCCGGACCCCATCCGGGGCGTTCCGGGATGATCCGTGTTGGCACCGGATGGTCCGGTGTCATCCGTGTTGGCATCGTGTTGGCACCGGGGTGGTCCGGGACGGTCCGTGGCGGCTCCGTGCTGGGTCTGGAATGATCTGTACTGCTGCCGGGGCTATGCCCGGACGGTCCGGGGCGGTCCGTAGTGGTACCGTGTTGGGTCCGGGGAGACGGTCGGCGGTTGCGATTTTTTGAACAAAACATCCCGGATCACCCCAGACCATGGTCCGGGATGGTCCGGAGTGGTCCGTGCTCGTCCGTGCTGGTCCGGCTTTATATGGGACTGGGGCTTAAGTGCTTTAATTTTTAATATTCTTTGAGTATTTATGTAGTATGCTGAGAGAAAAGTGTTTTGTTAGAAAATAAGTATTGGAAAGAATCTATAGTTTATTCTGTCATCTGGTTGAAGAGATTGTTACCTCGAAAGGTAATGTTTTCTATACATCTTGGGAATTTTAGCACAAAAAAATCCCTGTTCAGCAAGTATCTTATCTTATACAATATATAAACAGGGACAAATCAAGAACCAAATTGAAATAAACAAGCTATAATTATGGGCTTGCAGATGCAAAGAATAAGCCATGTATTTTTGCACAAAGCACTATTCGAAATCAAGATGGAGTAGCAAAACAAAATGCAGCTCAGATGTTGTGTCTCTTCAGGAATATGCCCATAATGTTAGGTGATAAGGTCCCTGAAGATGATGAACACTGGGAGCTGGTACTGCTGTTGCTGTCCTGCATGGACATCATTTTTGCACCTGCAATTACCAAAGGAGATACGACATACCTAAGCCAGCTTCTCAAAAGCAGAAGTGTCTTAGGGGCTAAATTTTCTAGTGCTTATAATACATCCACAGGGGTATAAAATATATCAAAATGGTAAAGAATCATCATCCACCAAATTTTCAAAATTTACCAAAACTTTGTATTACCTTTAAAGTTTTAATGTGTATTTTGAAAAGTGTGGTACCAGCGGTTTGAAAAACATATGAATTTGACAAATACAAAGTTATGGCAATTTATTTTAACCTTTTTATTGATTACATCGATTAGTAAGAACTTTTCAGGACTATTTTTATTTGATGTTCATGTGTTATGCAATAAGAAATTAATTTTTGTATTGTGTTCTGATGTACATTTTGACTGTATTTACATATGTTTTTTAATTACTTAGGTATTATGTTAAATGAGTACATATATTTTATTAGTAATTTGTTATGTATATTAATATTTGACTACTGGTTTACTTACACCCTTGTAAAAAAAAACCATGGATCCATGGTACGGTAAGACCATGGTAAAACCATGGTCTTACCCTACCATGGATCCATTGTAAACCATGAAATAACATGAGTAAATTGGAACAGACATATTATGGTTTTACCATGGATTTTCCATGGTTAAACTGTGGTTTTTCTATGTTTTTACCACGGTAAAACCGTGGTAAAACCGTACGGTAACCGTACGGTAAAACCATGGTTAACCCATGGTTTCACCTTGGTTTCACCATGGTATGACCACGGCAAAACCATGGTGAAACTACAGTAAAACCATGGTTTTACCATAATATGTCTGTTCCAATTTACTCCTGTTATTTCATGGTTTACAATGGATCCATGGTACAGTAAAACCATGGTTTAACCATGGTTTCACCAAGGTAAAACTACAGTAAAACCATGGTTTTTACCATAATATGTCTGTTCCAATTTACTCCTGTTATTTCATGGTTTACAATGGATCCATGGTACAGTAAAACCATGGCTTAACCATGGTTTCACCATGGTTTCACCATGGTATGACCACGGCAAAACCATGGTAAAACTACAGTAAAACCATGGTGTTACCACGGTGAAACCGCAAAGTAAAACCATGGTTTAACCATGGTTTTACCATGGTTTCACCTTGGTTTCACCATGGTATGACCACGGCAAAACCATGGTGAAACTACAGTAAAACCATGGTTTTACCATAATATGTCTGTTCCAATTTACTCCTGTTATTTCATGGTTTACAATGGATCCATGGTACAGTAAAACCATGGTTTAACCATGGTTTCACCATGGTTTAACCATGGTTTCACCATGGTATGACCACGGCAAAACCATGGTAAAACCACAGTAAAACCATGGTTTTACCATAATATGTCTGTTCCAATTTACTCCTGTTATTTCATGGTTTACAATGGATCCATGGTACAGTAAAACCATGGCTTAACCATGGTTTCACCATGGTTTCACCATGGTATGACCACGGCAAAACCATGGTAAAACTACAGTAAAACCATGGTGTTACCACGGTGAAACCGCAAAGTAAAACCATGGTTTAACCATGGTTTTCCCATGGTTTCACCTTGGTTTCACCATGGTATGACCACGGCAAAACCATGGTGAAACTACAGTAAAACCATGGTTTTACCATAATATGTCTGTTCCATTTTTTTTTACTCCTGTTATTTCATGGTTTACAATGGATCCATGGTACAGTAAAACCATGGTTTTACCATGGTTTCACCATGGTTTCACCATGGTATGACCACGGCAAAACCATGGTAAAACCACAGTACAACCATGGTTTTACCATAATATGTCTGTTCCAATTTACTCCTGTTATTTCATGGTTTACGATGGATCCATGGTACAGTAAAACCATGGTATTACAGTTTCACCATGGTATTACAGTACAGACCATGGTAAATCCAAAGTGAAACCATGGTATGACCACGGTAAAAACCATGGTAAAACCATGATATGTCTGTTCCGATTTACCACCTTGATAACATGGTACTACAATGGATCCACGGTACAGTCAAACAATGGTATTACCATGTTTTCTCCGTCGTTTAACCATAATTTCACCATGGCTTTTAGGTACAAACCATGGTGAATCCAAGGTGAAACTTCTGAAATGTAAATCATTTATAGAAAAGAGAAGCTATTTTAAATGTGTAAGAAATACATAATATATGTTTGATATCAGTGATGGGAGACACAATGAATGACCTGCCAAAAGAAATGGAAAATTGTGTTGAAAAAGATGAATACTTTTAATAAAATATATGTCACACACGTTTTAGAGTAATACATGTAAATGTGTTTAAACATCCTAGTCTTTAGACGTAAAGTAGCAAGACTTTATGCATGTTCAAATAAATATTTGTAATAAACTGTCTTACCGGTACACATAAAAAGTTAATTAGTAAACTGTTTGTAAACAGCACACACTTAGCAAGCTTATATGTATGAGGTATAGGCTAATGAGGAATAAAAAGGAAAGACTAAAATATTTCAATTAAGAGTACCATTACACTGACCACAACACCATAAAGCTGTCAGTAATAAGAACAAATATGGCAAGGTATCTGAGTATGCAAGATTTTTTTTTTTTCCTGAGGTGAGGTCCTATTGCATATATGTAATAATAAAAACTGTAAAGAGGGCATGACCCCTAAAAAAAACACAAATATACAAAGATAATTTTACCAACTGCAAACATTTGATTTGTTTGAAAGGTAACAAGCTGTATCCCAATTAGGTATTTGGCTAGTCAGTCAAAACAAGTTCTTCCCCTTCTTGTTTGTACCCTTTATTGTAATGCATTTCAGATGGTCTCTATTTTAACTCTATAATTCCAGCAATTGTTTGATACAAAAAACCTATAACTATATTTCTTCATTTGAAATTGAAATGTACTGTTTGAGAGGGGAAAAAATTGTAATTAACACTGACTTAATGAGACAAACATAACAAACTAACAAATGGTAATGAACATCTTGCAAATAACTGGATCAATATGGACATATAGTGTTTATAAAATGCCTTTTCACACCTATACACCCATATCCCTCCCTACACACAATAACAAGACCATCTCCTTGAATAATTGAACAAAATGGCCTAAGGATCAGAATTAAAAGCCTTTTATTTGAACCACTTCTATTCTAAAAGCCACCCACCCCTCCCAAAAAGACTTTAAACCTGAGTAACAATAAATATAGGATGTACCCTGAAACCCTTACAAGCAGGTATAACAATTGTAAAAGAGGAAATATGGCCCATCTTGTTCAACTTTTGGAACTATTAACAATGTGTTCATTTGAAAACTTGTATAATCCGATAACGGATATAATCCCAAATTTATCTTGTATGCCGGCAGAGCACTGAATAATGTACTCTCCGTCTCTCCGTTGTGCACAGGTTTATAAGGCGTGTGTATGAGTGTGCATAGAACGGCAATTATGACGGAAACCAAGTATTCGTTTAGTACGACAGCTATGGTGTAAAGTAGTGCACTATTGCAAAGAATCATATTACAAAATAAAAATTTATTTTCCCTTTATCTTTTTTTAAGAATCCTTTTAATTAGCTTGGCATGCATTGAAATGGCGAAGCCGCACCTTTCCTTTCTAATATTTTTGAAAACTTTTGGACATCAGATTGTTACCTAAAGAAACACATGATTGCTCAAAATAATTAGCGGGAAAGTATAAATGTGGACCGTAAATGGAAAGAATAGATTTGCCTTGTAATTCAGGAAAAACTTCAGAATGTTCTATATTTTGTTTCATAACAGAAGATCGTATACCCGTACCCGAAAAATATGAATCCGGTATTCGACATTCACGGACGGATACCAGATTGCTATCTGTTTTGATCCAGCACTAGATTCAATCACTCAAGATTAAACAGGAATTACAAAAAACATAACATATATGTATGATAAATTACACATCATATATTTAACTGAGTTTTATTTTTGTGGATTTTGTAAATCAACAATGATTAGCGATTTTAACACCCGAAAATATTTCCAACATACATACGTGTAATACACAATTAAATATTTAGTTAAGATGTATGGCCAGAGTAGCCATGCCGCATGCGTATGTAGCTATATCATGGAGCTAGCAAGGGCTGCGTGCACTAGTAGAGCAATTCAGTTTACACATGAGAGGTTAAAGGAGAATGAAACCCCAAAAATATTATGGCGTAAGATGTTGATCCATACTTCACTGATAAAAATGGTTCTAAAATTATGCCAAACTGTTCCTCAAATCCCTAGAAACATTTTCGCAAATTTCTTATTTTACCGATATTTGAGTGTACTGCGAAAACCAACGGGAGTCGTCATTGCTCATGAATATCTTCGATTTGTGACGTAAGAATTGTACAGCTCGACTTCAATCTAGTCGCAAATTAGCAGCTGTCTGTTTTCGTTTCACGAACATATACATTATTTTTTAGATGGTTCTGTTGGTGTAAAGAAAATAAATACCACATTTTTCTCTCAACAGTTGAAATCGCATAGGACTGATATTTGCACATTCATTTCTGTAAAGCTACTGAATTGCGACTAGGCTGAAGTCGAGCTGTACAATTCTTACGTCACAAATTGAAGATATTGATGAGCAATGGCAACTCCCATTGGATTTCGTGGTACCCTCAAAATGAAAACTTTGCGTCAACGTCTTGAGGGATTTGAGGAACAATTTGGCATAATTTTAGAACCATTCTTATTAGTGAAATAATGCGATAATATTTTTTGGGTTTCATTCTCCTTTAAGTATATAACTGTGTTGTCTCTCGACCCAAAATTCAAAACTTCAATACATCAAAATTGCTGTAGGTATATTTGAGGATTTCTGTTCACAAATTAAACTACTGTACTTGTGAAATGGTCTGGGGGAAAAATTATCATCTCTTTCCCAGAGATGCCAACCTCCAGAACAGAAAATCAGTAATCATAAGGCTCAAAATCAGTAATTTGGGGAATAAATCAGTAATTTCCTATGCGGCGTCATGAATCTAAAAAGAATGGCAGGCAGACGCATGCGCGCATGATTATCTGAAATTTTTTGTGATTTTACTCCCACAAAGTTGCTAAATATTGACTTTCAGTTCATCACAACACATAAGTTTTCAATGAAAAATTGGCTTCTATTAAGAGAATACTTGATACTTTTCCATCTTTCTCATGGATGGCCACCATAATGCACAGCACTTGCTACGATAGATCCCTATGCGCAAAAAAAAAAAAAAAAAAAAAAAAAAAAAAAAAAAAAAATCCGTACTAGTTGGCATCTCTGCTTTCCGTCTTGTGCTTCATTCGTTTTCATCTCTTGCAGATGTGGGCTGCTGAACATCTCCTTTGAACTGCAAGTGAAATTTAACATAGAAATAAATTGAGGAAGGTCAAGAAACCATTGAACCCTACCCATTTTCTGGGAATAGAAATTTGAGAAAACACGAGACTCCCTTACATGTACATCTATTTTTGTGTAATTTTGGCATAGCTCTTTATCTAAAAAAAAATGGTTTCAATAATGCAGTGTTGCACCCATGAATACAGTTGATTTGGAAGGTTATTGGAATACTCAATGCTGAAAGTTGGTATAAGCATGGAATTTTAATAAATTCATATCATAAATGGTGCAATTCTTTAAACACATTTAAATTTAATTTTGATTTTAATTCATTCAAACCTAAACTTGAAGCTGAATATTTGAAATCACTCAACTCATTGTAAATAGGTAGAAATTTTGATAACAATTATAATCACTACAAAATATGCCTTCTCTAACGCAATTTGCTACTTACTGAAAGCCTGCGTCTCTCTCTTTTGGCCTCATTTGAGAGTTTGTTGGTCATTACAGACCTCAAGTAAGATGGGGGAGATGCCGGGAATTTCTGTTGAACATAGGCTTTAAGAAACAGAACAAAAAATAAATAAATAGGGAGTTGACTAAAAATCAGATCTTAACTTTCGTAATGAAAACAAAATTACACACATAAACAAAGAAATCTCAATAAAATTGAAAAGTGCTACTGTGGTAGTTTCTCTCCTCATGCTCCCCCTCCCCCCTCCCCCCTCCCCCCCCCCCCCCCCCCCCCCAACAGGGTGACTGTAAGGACTGAAGCTTGGCATGTTACAGGACATCAAATAATGAATTAGCCTAATTTAAGCTATACATCTATATCTTACAGTTTTTAAAATTTACACTAATAATATAATCAAGACAATTATGCATTTTGTATAATACATGTAAATTTCCATTTGTATGATGGGCAATGACTGATGGTTCAAATATTATAAATTATGTATGAAAAGATGGGTAAAGCTCTAGCCTGTAGAGTATGAAAGTGTATGGCGCAAACACACAAAAAACATCCTCAAAACCTGCAACGTATCATGGATTCCACTCTCAACACTCACTTTTATGATCAACTTCAGAGTTAGCCATTATTTTGATATTCATCACCATCTAACTGTGGCCTCTGACTGTATGAAGGGAAAGGGGCTACAAAATAGGCAAATTCCAGTGTATTCTCTACCATTACATTTTCATCAAATGTAGATCAATTAGCTTTACACTGCAATAACTATAATTACCAATAATGTCGGCAATCTTTTCGTGGTCCAGAGGGGGTTTGCTCTTGCCTTCTTTGTTTTTTCCTCCTGTCAGAGAGGAATTGAGGAGTCCCTCCCGTCCGAAAACGGCAACCATCAGATCCGACGTTAGCTTCCCCACATCTAAATGGTTGCAGTTCAGCAGGGTCCTCTTCGTGAGTGTTACATGTGGACCAACTTGGACCTTCAAGAGTAATGATAGAGAGATGAAAAATACAGGATATAAACTTCTTGAAGTTTTAAGGATATGTTAGGCTAATGCAAACAGCTTTCGTATACGTGAGGTGTGTCACACCATCAATGGCACTGAGCTTGAAAGTACAAAAAGCAGACAGTGTGAGATATGAATTCATAAATGAATAAATAACCCAATATGTCTTGATTACTCAAAATTTGTAAAGATCTAAGTCCAGTCTACTTTGTAGCAAGGATGGCAACTAAAAGAAATCTTACATAATTATTAATATAATTTTAAGTTGATTTAACACAATCTACACTGGTTGAAATGCATACCTATAGTATACAGAGCAAAGGATGAACTATTGGATGTCCATTGAAAAAAAGATTAATATTTCACATATTCTGCTCTGGCTTTGCCAAATTTAGTGAATATCAGCCTCGGGACAACAAAGACACTTTCTGTATTGATGATATTAATCCCGAAAGAGAGGAAATAAGAGGATTATTTATTACTTACTTTATCTATTGGGGCCTCACGTACAGCTGAAGTTGAGGGACTCATGCACAGTGCTAATCCTTCACTGTCCGGCAGAGAGGATGGTGGTGAGGTTGGCAATTGAGGCTGCCTTGATTTCTGAGAGTATGATGCAAATACATGTATACAAGACAACATAAGAGAATTATTTATGAATGAATTATAATGCTAATTTTGGGGAATATCCACTTCAATACATAAGTTGTACATTTCAGACTGGTATATGTGGATCATGGAAAGAGCACATGACCAACAAAGAACTCTATGATAAAACTGAAAAGGTTGAGGAAGGCCGAAGATGTAATGGAAGAAAATGGTCAGAAGAGAAAGTGCTCAAGTTGGATTGAGTGAAGATGATGTTGGAGATAGAGTGAAGTGGACAGAAGGAATCAATAGATGGAAGGAAGGATTAAAGTCAGAAACCCCCCGTAAGAAGGAAAATGCTAACTGTAACAAATGATGATAATGAAAAGGTTGGATGAATAACTACAAATTCGACGATAGGAATTCATTAGACAATGTTGGGAGAAGAAAAGAACAGGTAATAAGCAAAGGGACCAAAACATGGCAAAAGAAAAAGAGAGAGACCACCTGCAACATACCTAGATCAACTGAGAATACTGGTTTTAGGAGCGAAGATTTGACGACGATAAAGAAGAATAGAGGTGTGTGGATACAGCTTGTATATGGTGTTTGAGTGCGCATGAAATTAGTCAATATATCACAAGTTCAGGTTTACAAGACTAATTTCTAAATTGTTAAGTAAATTACCATGAGACTATAAACATAAAACTGTAGTCCCTTATTCCAGTGACATGGGTTTAATAGTATACTAACAATAAAGCATCACACCTACCTTAATTTTGGCACGAAGAGGCTCCATGTCAGTCATAAAGTTGTCCATCCTCTCCATTAACTTTGGGATCTCTGATATACATGTAAGTTGCATGTACATAAAAAAAAAATTGAATGAGGACAGTGGTAGTGAAGATTACAAATGCTAGTACACATTTTTCTAAGTAGAACAAATTATAGCATTCATCTTAAAGCTGAAGTTTTGAGAGAACAGAAAAAATAATTGTTGTAATTTGCCACTAAATCTATTTAAAGACCGAATTTGAGCAATAAAATAATTTTTATCTTCTGGGCCACAAGACTTTTATTACCTCAAGCCGACCACATGCAAAACAAATGAGCAAAGCATGCATGCCCACTGTTCGCATGATTGCACTGATTTGCCTTGCCCAGAGCTCAGGGTAAATAGCTTAAAAAACATAGCCTCAGTTTCATGATCCTCTCCAGACATTTACACTAAATTCTTTGGAAATCATGCACAGACCATTAACATATTTAGCACAGGTATATTTAAAGGTAAATGGAACAAAATGAGGACACATTTGATAACATTCATTCATATTTACCTTTCACTAGCAGAATTAGAATTGACCTTTTAAAGTTTTTCCCAAAATATGTACAGTACTGTTTTACTTGGAATAGTGGAAACTCAGCATAACAAGGCCCTTGGGACAATCACAATTACCTTGTTATAGCAGAAATCTAGTTTCAAACGGTTTGAAAAACAGCCGAGACCATGAATATTAACTCATTATCAGGAACATTGTTACACCATCATTAGTAATTCTCTCTTTATGCTGAGTTTCCACTGTAATGCTCAATCAAGTTTTACATTTTATGGCATTCTTATTATACAACACCCTTAAAACAAACTTCAAACAAATGCAATATAACTGACAATGACACTGAAATTAATTCATGGCATGCTCAATTCTTTTCCTTTTCCACAAAATATTATTGTTATTCTTTTGGAAACACAAACCATCTATTGCATAGCAAATTGTCCATTTTCTCTCTACTCACCTTTTACAAAACTGAGCGTCTCCTTCAGCTTCTCCTTGAGCTTCTCCTTGTCCATACGCTCCTGAGCTAGTTGTCTTCTTAACTGCTGTATGGTACCACCTTCCTCAAGGTCAAGGTCAAGGTCTGATAGTGGTGATGATGGTCTAAATACTTCCTACAGGTTATCAACAACATATAAAATTAAGTTATGCAACAGTTGCCTTCGCATTAATATTTTGTATTTACAGTGCTCATGCACCAATGTCCCAATGGCAGACTGAAAACCAAGCAATGACATAACCCCCCCCCCCCCCCCATGCCCAAAATGTGGTGTACCTGACGTATAGAATGGAATTTTAAAAAAAGTGAATTGAGTTCCTTTATACATTGTTATATGTTGTGTTGACAAGGTTGGTACATGTACAAAATCTTAGCTATAGATCTTTACCAAGTCTTCTTTTGTCCAGGTTGAAGAACACCATAGCATCACAGCTGAAAATTATCTGTATCCCAGCAAACAATATGTAATGACACAAGCTAACTGACTACTGACTACATGCAACATATTATTTATTCTATTATTTTACACAACTGACTTTGTAGTTGGTTTTGAGCTGAAAATTATCTGTATCCAAGCAAACAATATGTAATGACACAAGCTAACATTAACTCACTTGGCATGGCTTTATGATCACGGGATCCTCAAGTTTCTTTCGCAACTCTGTTGCCAGCTTGCTGCAGTGCACAATGTCCTTTGTTTTTGTCTTCTTTGTATTCTTAGGACACATAAAAAAGGAGAAAATTAAGGATACAACATAAAAAGCAATCCTTAATAATGGGGGAATAATGTCCCAGAGTCATGACCAAATTACCAATTTGTCTCAATAGCATGGTGATTTACATTAATTGGTTCTTATTTCATTATAAACTTCATAGCTTTCTTATCAGCAATGCTTATCAGTCATCCACTTTTCCTATGAACTTTTCAAAAATCTGCTCTCATTAAAAACAAGCTATTCAGGGAACAGAGTTGGCCTTAAAGCCACACTACCCCACTACTCAGAAATAGCTCCATCTCGAGTCCTAAACTACTCATATTGTTCCCGTCAGCTTTCCCAGGATGAAACATTCTGATCTCGTAGTCTTAAAATATATGCCCACTAGGTGAATAATTACAAATATATCTGCAACTCTTTACAACATACATACCACTATAAAAGGAGTATTATTTCTCTTCCAAACATACCCGTTTTCTGATGCAAAGCCCATTATTGGTTGATTTATTGAGACATATATTGCCAAACATTGTATTAAAAGGTATAAGGGCTGTTTATCAAAACTAAATCTTAATCATTGTACAAATTGAGCATTGCTCACAAGCCTCCTGGTGTAGTGTGGCTTTAAATCAATCACGACAATTGCCCACATTTTGTGGTTTGGATCAATAACTTTTGATAAAGATCCCTGAAAAATATACTAGATGCATGAGCAGAAAGAGCAAAAATTTCTGCTCATGATGTATTTGTTTATAATGCATTATCACATGGCATTTTACACCAGGAATTTTAAAAAGGAAATTAAGCATGAAAATCCTTAAATTGGTAATGTTCTGAAAAAGTTAAAAATCAGTGTTTTTCCATGCAAATTGGCAATACTTAAACTCTAAAACATCGTGTTTATCTTTGTACATTTACTTCAGATACATGAATTTTTGTTTCAAGTATGTAGCAATAAAAGAAAAATACCAGTGTTGCCAATTTGAAGAAGAAAACCTAATCAATTTAGCCCTTAAATAATTCCTGTCCTGTGTGAGTTAAATGAAAGTTGGTATCATGATTCAAAACAAGTGAGTTCTCAAACATTTTTCATGTGGGTTTTATTGAGACAATGAAGAGGATACTTTTCACTTAAAGGTACTATGTCCCATTTGCAGGCCCAAAAAATGAAAAAGTTAAATTCCAACTGCATTTGAAAGATAATACTAATTTAGAACTTCCCTAAAAAAGGTGGGGCTTGAAAATGTCTTCAAGTGGGAAAATAACGATTATTAGTTGTCAAATCGACTTTAGGGCTATAGAGCCCAAAAGTAATAGTCTTGATTTTCAGACAATTGTACCGAATGGTCATACGTTTTATGCTGCGCAAAGATTCAATCAGTTTAATCATGGCCATCACAAGAAGTGCGTTATTGATGTAGACAAATGCTCATGTACCCATTACAACTCTTTTCATGTATGTTATTACTAAATAAGAAAAAAAGCCAGTTAGTCACTCAATAGTGTCTGACAGTGAAGTCTAGCAAGTAAACAGGTTTCCTTGCATAATTTGAATATAGGACACTGCTAACGTTCAAATTTCACAGATAGGACATACATGACATATTCATAATTCCTGCAAAGTTCTACAGAATTTGAGGTTAGCTGCAAAAGGGAGTTAAGGGACATAGTACCTTTAAAGCTCAATTCTAGTTCTGGTAGCGAAAGGTAAATTGGAATGAATGTTATCAAATATGTCCTCATATTGTTCCATTTACATATAAAATATACCTGTGCCAAATATGTCTATGGTCCATGCAAGATTTCCAACGAATTTAGTGTAAATATCTGATGGGTTTGACGAAACCGAGGCTAATTTTGCTAAGCTGTTCAGCCGAAGATCTGGGCAAGGCAAATCACCGCGGTTCGGTGCGAACAGCGGGCATGCAGCTCGATCATTTGTGTTGCTTGTGGTCGGCGCGAAGTACTAAAAGGCTCGGGCCCAGATCGAAATTATTTGTCAGTGTTATTGCTGATCAAATTCGGTCTTAGAATATATTTGGTGGCAAATCCTTTTGTTCATGGGGGTTTAATGAGATAATCTTCCATATCATTGTACAATGGAAGCAAAATACGACAATTATTTTTTTCTGTTTTCCCAAAACTTGAATTGAGCTTTAAACTCAGCAGATGGAATGTTGATGTTAAAATTAAATAAAGTCGATATCTCAGTTACTGAGGAAACTGCATCAGAATAATTTGCAATATCGTAATCAGTGATAAATTTACCTCTTAGTTAAGTAGGACGATCCAATATCTTATTCCATTATAATACTTCGGATTGAATATTTTTATCTTGTTTATGTAGCATTTTTTTGTGGCATTTTTATGTGGAATTTTTTTGACCATGCCAGTTGGCGATCTACCTCCTTGGCCTCCAATTAGTCTGGGGTTTAACACACACTCTCCCGTAGAAGGAAATCCCCATTGTATAGCGGTTTAATGTACGAGGTCAATCTATAATTGACCTTGTACAAGTAACAGGGGTCCGGTACACATTGGCCCAACATTTCAACTTCAGATCAGACCCCAAACTTTTAAAATTTTAACACAGGGCCCATACAAACCTCAAAATTTTTAATCTGGACCCCTTGTGAATTGTTTAGCGTAGAGCCCTGGTACATGTACTTTAGACCAGAGTAGGGTCTGTAACACTTAAACAAAATGTCAAAATTATTATGCATTCAAAACCAATTTAGCCAAGAAAATAGATCTAGATCTATAGTAGTGAGAAAGAAAAAAAAAATCATTTTTATTTCCAAGAGCTTTTTTAGGATTTACCATTGTAAAAATGAAAATAGATAATACCTTTTGTGTTGTTATGACACCAATATCATCCTCCGATTCACTCATACTTTCCTCTGATGTCCACGCTTTTCGAGGCCTCCTTTTCCTTTTCCCCCTACCACTTCCTGTATCGGTGTCTGTCTTCAGGCTGTCGCCACTACAAAATTTATTTCTCTTTCTAAGAAGCTTTTCCTTGGAGTCTGAAAAAAAAGAAAAGAAATAGAATCCAAGCTAGGTCTACGTTTTATATAGACTCGAGTGAAAGAAGGAGTTTCTCAGCTACTTAAGCTTTTTTTGTAGATTTTACTTAAATAAATAACAAAAACCAATTTGAATATTACGATGCTTCCTTAACATAAAAGATATGCCACTTATTACAGTAGAACTAAAAGATAGTTCTATGACAACAGCAAAAATGTGCAAAAGCTTACAAAGGAGGCAGTTTTCGGCTGCCTGAATCAAGCCTTACAAGGTCACATACAGTCAAGTCTTTGTACACCTACGTGTGATTTTTAAAATAATATTTTAATACAAAAGAATATAGAGGCTGTTAATATAAAAAAATCAAACATAGATCAAGGTCTAGAGACTAGAGTCAGGCTAGTATGAATCAGTTTTCACCTGCTTTATTGGTGCAGGGTATCTTATGATCTCTAGACAATTAATGACATTAATTTTGGGCAACGCAGGGAATAGGGGACCAGATAATTTCAGTACACTATCAGTTCTAATTAATGTTCAAAATCATAATGGTCGAAATAGTCACATACACATGTACCAAGTCTCTGTGATTCTCGTTCATTTGATGGAAATAAAGTACATTTTGGACAAAATTATTGGCAAAAACACAGGCGTTTCACCACTGATTCTCGTAACCGATGATATGCCAGCAGTGCGTATATGTGGCGCACACACTTTATTCAAATATTGAGTACCGGGTAATGAGAAATTAATAAAAAAGACCTGTTATTAAATAATATACTTCTGCAAACAAATACTGACGAAACAACACCTATGTAATGATTTAATTCAAATTCATTCAATCATAAAATCAGGTGTAGATCTATTTATAATTAATTCCTATAAATTGATAATTCATTAAATTTTAATTCAATTAATCTATTATCATTACACATGTAATTGTAATTGAATTTGGACAACCCATGATATATATTATTGTTTGTACTCAATTCAATGCCCTATTAAAAAAGTATTAAGGGTGCCAAAGGAAAATAAACACTCGTTGTCATCTCACTGTCATTGTCATTGGCCTAGACTTAATTTTTTTTGGAATAAATATGACTGAAGGAGCTACGACTACAGTACAGACACAGTCAGTACAGTAACGGTAACTCGACTACAGTAAGACTCAGAGCCTAGCCTAGTTACAGCCTCTCTGATTTATGATTTATTATTTTTGACATTATCTAGTATCAATCATATGATTGATAGATATGATTGATAGATAATGTAAAAAATAATAATTCATAAATCAGAGAGAACGTCGTAAGGCTAGTCAGCTCAGAGCCCCGACGCGATTCGCGTAGTCGACTAGACTAACTTGTTAGGCCTAACGTTAGACAACAACAACACAACAACAGATATTTCACATTTTCAGAAAAGAATGAAACATCTTGTAAAATAAAAATAAAACCAAACAACCAACACCACCAACACCGTCCATGGCTTCCATAACTTTAATGTTATTAAATGAAATTGTGATAGATTAACTCCTAGTAGCAGGCGCGTACGCAAGGGGGGGGGGGGGGGTTTTGGGGGGTTAACCCCCCCCCCCCTTTGGTATTTTTATGTGTATAAACCCCCCCAAAACCCCCTCCCCCCCCCCCTTTTGGATTTTTTTTTTTTTTTTTTTAAAAAAGGTGTCCTCTTACCCCCCCCCCCCCCCCGCTTATTCAGCGGTCAGCTGAGTCGTTGCGATTTGTTTGCGACCAAAAAAAAAAAAAAAGTGTCCTCTTACCCCCCCCCCCCCCCCCCCCCCCCCACCCCCCCCCCCCCCCCCCCCCCCCCCCCCCCCCCCCCCCCCCCCCCCCCCCGCTTATTCAGCGGTGGGCTGAGTCGTTACGAAATTTTCGGCCCGATTTATAAATGTTAAAACACCCCCCTTGAAAAAATCCTGCGTACGCGCCTGCCTAGTAGTACCGTATCTAATCTAGTAATGTACATACCGCTTACTGCCAACAGTACAGCCGAGCACATGTCGGTAGTCACCGACGCCATCGGCCCCGTTCCTCTTCCCCGCTGCTGTGGCCATTCCACTTTCACTTTTTCTTCACTCCTCATCAGCTCCTCCAACACTTCGTCATCGAAGTTTGAGGCTTCCAGTTTCTCATTTCTGATCCACTTAACCTCGCCAACTTCCACCGATGAATCGTCAAAATTAAATAACGCATATTTGGTCCCCGTACTACCAGAACTTGAAGACATTGATTTCGCCATTTTGAAGTCAAAATACGCGCCAGTACAGTCTACGGTATACCGGTATGAGCACATGCGATATGCCTAGGCTATAGGCGCAACAACATAACATGCTGTGTATGGCGCGCCATATGCCCAATAACCCCGAAAAACATTGTTTATCGCCGATAAACAAGGTTTATCGACGAAAAACAAGGTTTATCGAGCGAAAAACAAGGTTTATCGAGCGATAAACCTTGTTTATCGTGAGAAACTCTGTATATCGACTGATAAACACAGTTTCCCTCGATAAACAAGGTTTATCGACGATAAACAAGGTTTATCGAAAAACAAGGTTTATCAAAAAACACGGTTATTCGTATTTCGTCAGGAGTGGGCGCTTTTTAAAGTTGCACCCAGCTCAGAGCACTGCTCCGCACGTGCGCTTTACACCGTAGAATATACCAACACCGTAACACTTGCTCGCGCTCATGACCACGATCGACATTTTCTGAGTGGAGGTATGGCGAAGTATTCTTAATTCCAGGCTTTTTTCCCAATTTTTGAAATGTTATGTTTATATAATCTCTCTCTAGCCCTCTCTCTCTTTCAAACTTTCTAGGTTTTCCCCTTCTCTTATCTCTCTCACTCTCCCCCTTTCTTTCTCTCACTCTCTCTTTCTCCTACCCTCTCAATATAACCCTTCTGTCTTTCCCTCTCTTTCTTCTAATTCTCTCTTTCCCTTTCTCTTTCCTTTTCTTTTCTGCACTCCCTCTCTGCCTCCTCCCTTTTATCTATTTCCCCCGGTATGAGAAATAGGGTAGAGATAGATGGTTAATGGAGAGAGAGGAGAGATACAATCAGATAAAGGACAGATAGGGTAGAGATGGATAGATGGAGATAGAGGAGAGATGAAAGAGAGAGAGGGCTAGAGAGAGATATATAAACATAACATTTCAAAAATTGGGAAAAAAGCCTTGAATTAAGAATACTTCGCCATACTTCCACTTCCACGTCTTTCGGATGGTGACGTTAAAGGTCGGTCCCAGACGTAAATAATCATATCTGATTGATACACGTCTGTAAAAACCCAATTACACACACACAACACTCAGAAAATGTCGATCGTGGTCATGAGCGCGAGCAAGTGTTACGGTGTTGGTATATTCTACGGTGTAAAGCGCACGTGCGGAGCAGTGCTCTGAGCTGGGTGCAACTTTAAAAAGCGCCCACTCCTGACGAAATACGAATAACCGTGTTTTTTGATAAACCTTGTTTTTCGATAAACCTTGTTTATCGTCGATAAACCTTGTTTATCGAGGGAAACTGTGTTTATCAGTCGATATACAGAGTTTCTCACGATAAACAAGGTTTATCGCTCGATAAACCTTGTTTTTCGCTCGATAAACCTTGTTTTTCGTCGATAAACCTTGTTTTTCGATAAACCTTGTTTATCGATAAACCTTGTTTATCGTTGATAAACCTTGTTTATCGAGGGAAACTGTGTTTATCAGTCGATAAACAGAGTTTCTCACGATAAACAAGGTTTATCGCTCGATAAACCTTGTTTTTCGTCGATAAACCTTGTTTATCGGCGATAAACAATGTTTTTTGGGGTTATTGGGCATATGGCGCGCCATAGCTGTGTCTAGTCTGCATATATTTGGCCTGGCGCCGGCGCGGCCGTGCGCGCGCGAGGGTCGTAAAGGTTGTGACCCCTCGCACGCGTACGCCATTGCAGCACACGCACCCCGTAGCTGTCATTGCATTGACCTAAATATCTGCCGTTACGGTAGCTCGTTCGGGCATTTTTTAATAAATTTTGATTTTTCACTTACTACTCCCTAGGCCTATACCGTCGATCAATATCGAGCGAAATGGCAGATGGAACAGGAAGCAGACGTCCGTACAAAAACTACCTTGACCAAGATGTAGATCTAATTGATTTTGACGAAGAAGATAGTTGTAAGCTTCTCCCTCGCAGTACAGCTCACAATAGAAAAAGGAAGGCTAGTAGGCCTACTGTAGTCGAAACAGATTCAGAATTAGAGTCGGATGAACTTGATCTTGAGTCAATGATCTCCACATGTAGCTCTAGCTCTACACCCACGACTATTAACATTAGGCACGATCGAGAGGATGAGCTCGACCATGAAGAAGCTGATCGTGAGCATCAAGCTAACTTTGTTAGTGGCAGTGCACACGACAATGCTGAAAACACAGACACCGGCCCCGACGATCACGATGATGGAACTGATCATGGAGCTATGCCCATGGATGGGGCAGTGCCAGTGGCAATGGACCCAGTCCCAGAATTGGTAAGTAAAAATAAATTTTAATTTAGGCCTAGACTCTAGATCTAAGGGAAAGTCTACCCTAAAAGTAAGTTGGTTTTGATAAAAGCAGACAAATGAGAGAAATAGATTAGCAAAGCCTGGCAGAAGTTTGACAAAAATCTGACAAACTGAATTAAAGCCACCAGGTCCAGGAGGCTCACAAGAATTGACCAGTTGGTTCAATGGTTAAGATTTAGTTTTAATAAATATACCTATGCCTTTTGACACAATGATTGACAGTTTATATTTCAGTAAATTAATCTATAATGGGTTTTATATCAGAAAACAGGAATGTTTAATCCTCCTTTGGGCAAACCCCTTAGAATAGGGGACCAGGCAATATTACTTATTATATTAGACCCTAGTATATTATCAGTTCTAAATAATGTTTGAAATCATAACAGTCCAATAGTCACATACCTAAATTCTCTTTGATTCTCGTTCATTTGATGGAAATAAAGTACATTTTGGACAAAAATATCGGCAAAAACGCAGGCGTTTGACCACTGATTCTCGTACTCAATGATATGCCAGCGGTGCCTACGCGGCGTGCGTGCACTCACGGCTGGTCACGATCACTAGAGCATGCATGCAGTGAGTGCGCGCGCGCCGCGTTTGCACCGCTGGCATATATATAAGCCATCGGGTACAAGAATATTTTTGTCCAAAATGTACTTTATTTCCGTCAAATGAACGAGAATCAGAGAGACTAGGTATGTGACTATTGGACCATTATGATTTCGAACATTATTTAGTACTGATATTGTACTGATACTGCCTGGTCCCCTATTCTACGGGTTTGCCCTCCTTTGTTACTTGCATGGTAACATATTAGTGGTATGTATGTTGAAAAGAGTAGATCTAGTGCCATGGATATAATTTTTAATCATTTAAGTGGGCATATAATTATTTAGACTACAAGATCAGAATGCTGCATCCTGGGAAAGCTGACGGGAACAATATGAGTAGTTTAGGACTCCAGATGGAGCTATTTCTGAGTACTGTACTGGTGTAGTGTGGCTGTAAAGGAAAAAACAATAAATGAGAAAGATGAATTTTCAAAAGCTCAGATCACTAATGCTATGGAGATCCTCCTATTCTCATTTCTTTTGTACATATTTCACTAAAGCCCTGTATTTTCTCAATTCTAATGGTAGTGCCGAGATTCATTTTTTGGGAGGACATGTAAATATTGGTTAGATCTGCACATACCGTATACGGTTATATATCATGGTCAACAAGTCTGTTCTATCATTAAAATGAGGGAAAATGGTATTTTGAAGATTTTTTGTACATGCCATATGGGAGTGTTGTTCATGTCGTATCTAGATCTACATGTATGACACTAATAAAAAGAAAAGTTTTCAAGGTAAAGTCTTTAACCTGCGGAATTCCATGATTTTACTTGTTAGACTTTGTAGTCTACCTCTACCCGGCAAGTTTGCATTTCATGCCAACTTCAGTAGGCAGCTATCATTGATCTTACTTATTTTATTTATTTATTTTTTTACAGATTGAAGAAGAATCTCACAATGTCCATGATGCAGGGCCTCTACATGTACCTGAAGAAGGCGGCATACTTGGTATCATTCTGGTGAGTTTGTTAACTCGGCTTCCTTAACTTAAAATAGTGAAGTGCTTGTAACTGCAAGAAAAAGGTGCACCTTTGTTTAGAACAAAATCACTTAGAACCAATAACCCAGTTGACGTGGCCAGTTTGACATCACACTTTCCAATCCAATCCAATCCAGGAATTTGTAAAGTGCCAATATCTAGTTGCCTAATCAAAGGCGCTAATGAGACTGAAAAACTACCCAAAATGTCTGTTCATGATTCTAACTGGGAAAGATGAAAATAATGACTAGGTGTAAGCAATCTGAAAAAGGTGTGTTTTTATTTGAGTTCTAAATGTGGATAGCTGGTCACAAGAGCGAAGGAATTGGGGAAGACCATTCCACAACCTACACCATGTGGATGCACAGGCAGTAAATGATCGATCACCTAAAAGAGAGCGTGTACGAGGACTCTCAAGCAGGTATTTACCTGCAGATCGCAAATTAGTTCGAGGATGATAAGGGGTCAACAAACCTGAAATGTTCACAGGGGCAAGTCCATGCATTGCTTTCCATGTCGTCAAAATGATTTTATATTCAATTCTCTGTTTTACAGGAAGCCAGTGCAGTGCAATAAGTGAAGGGGTTATGTGGTCAAACTTTCTCCCTATTGAAAGAATACGTGCAGCAGAATTCTGAGCATACTGTAGTTTCTGTAAATGATGTTGAGTTATACCATAGAGCAAAGAATTGTGTATGACCATTATCAGGCACAAAGAAAAGGAAATGTGATGATGTACAACTTCTTTTTATATGCTTTTCAATTAGGATGAATTTCATCAGCTGCAGAATGAAGCAGACGAGAGCGATGGAGGTGAATTTTCAGAGGTGGAAGAACCTGAAGCAGATGCTGGACAATGTGAACCAGATGCTGGACACTGCCAAGAGGTAATTTAATTGTTCTAATTTATTTCTGTGTTTAAAAAAAATCTGTTAGTGGACATGACCACCAATCACTTTTCATTCCTAAATATATGCTATTTGAAGATGCTTGTCCCTATTGATTGTAATTTTAGTCGATGGAAAACAAAATTGTAACACTAATGGTTCTCTTTTCTTTGAGGAGGGCGTCTTGTTCTTAATTCATCTGTATGTTTCTGTGGATACACCAGGTAGACGAATAACAATTTATATTATAACTGAAATTATTTGATTTCATATTTATTTAACAGAAATCTTTTTTATTAAGATTGAATGCACAAGATTTATGATAATAGGCTATTGGCTGTTGAGTCATTTCATATTTTAAAGAAAAATACCAGATCATAATTTGTAAGGATCAAATATAAAGTCTTGTTTCACGAACCATTGTCTGTTTTCTGTTTAGGACGGAGGTAACATTCACGTGCCAGGTGGTGATGAACCAGTTTCAAGTGAAGGTAATGACCTAACTAAAATGGACAGTCTCCTGGCTGTTTTAAGTTTTGCTGTGAATCATCATCTTTCAGGCGTGGGTCTTCAAGATCTTATATCATTAATAAATTTACATTGTCCTAACACTCTGCCTTCTTCAAAATACTTGTTTGGCAATTCAACAACAGATTACAGAGGTGTCTGTGAATTCCATTTCTATTGTCAACTATGTAAGCAATATGTTGGGAAACTCCATGATACTCCAGACAGTTGTCCAGATTGCAATGCAGCATTTGACCATAATCAAAACATGAGGAATGGTACGTTTTTTATGGTCTTGCCTCTCACTCAGCAGCTGAAGCATTTGTTAGAACATACTGAAGTAGGGGAGAAACTTGTTAATAGATTGCAACAGAATAATGATCAAGTAGACATTTCTGATATTGTAGATGGTGATCTTTATAAGAATTTTGCCAAAGACCACATGCCCACCACAGATGATTTTAGTCTTTTGTGGAACACTGATGGCGTACCCATCTTTAAGTCGTCCAAGAGTTCCATATGGCCAGTCCTATGTTCTATCAATGAACTACCAATAAGAATTCGGAAGGATAATATTCTCCTAACAGCCCTATGGTTCGGGGACGAGAAACCTAATATGAAGCTCTTTCTAAAACCATTTGTGCAAGAGTGCAATGCCTTGTCGAGCGTGGGCCTAGAGTGGCAGTTTAGGAATGAAAAAAAAAGGTCCAAAGTCTTCTGTTTGATGTGCTCTGTTGATACCGTAGCTCGACCTTTGCTGAGGAACATGGTCCAATTTAATGGATATTATGGTTGTGGGTTTTGCCAACAGAAGGGAGAGTACTCACATAATGCCATGAAATATCCATATGAAAACCCCCCTGCCCCAGAAAGAAATGAGCGTCAGACACAAGAGCAGAGTGTTCTTGCGGAACAAACAGGAAGAAGTATAGAGGGAGTTAAAGGCGTGAGCATTTTATCCTTTTTGACTTTTTTCAATCTTATTACTAGCTTTATACCTGATTACATGCATTCCGTTTGCCTTGGGACTGTTAAACGTATAGTTAGTGCATGGCTTGATCCGAGCAACAGAAATAAGGACTTTTATATAGGTACTAAGAAAGAGGAAATAAACCAAAAAATCAGATGCGTAAAGGGAACAAAAGAAATAACAAGGTTACCTAGGTCTCTTAATATGATGAAATTTTGGAAAGCAAACGAGTGGAGGGCTTTCATTTATTTTTCCCCTATTGTATTGAAAGGTATCCTTCCATCAAGATACTTGGCACATTGGTCAATGCTTGTGTTGGCAATCTTCCATCTAAACTCGACTAAAATTACTAGAGAAAGACTAGTACAATGCAGATTTTTGTTGAGGAAGTTTGTTTTATTTGTGGAACCCCTTTACAGTAAGAAAGAACTCACATTCAATGTCCATCTTCTTCTACATCTGACTGACAGTGTTCAGAATTGGGGGCCCTTATGGGCAACTTCTGCCTTTTCTTTTGAATCGTTCAATGGTTTCATGAAAAAGCTTTTTGCTGGCACAAGATATTTGCCTCAACAGATATTTCAGTCGATGTGCCGAATTCAGGATCTTCAATCCAACATGGCCAGAATATCATCGAATGCCACTTATGAATATATTGCAAATATGATGAGGGGACATCAGTTACTAAAACATGCACAAAGAATTAGATGTGGGCTAGATGAAGTAGTTTTTCTAGGATGTTCTAAATATTTGACTTTAACTCAGATTTACAAGACTATGCTAGAAGATCTCTTGGGAGAGAATCTGCTTATTGACAGAGTGGAATGTTTTGACAGATTCATTTTTAATAACACACTTTTCACAACAAAAGAATATTCTTCGAAATTCAGACGTATTGATTCGCTTATTGGTAATCTTGGTGGTAGTGTGTTTGAAGTACTTCATCTGTTTGCCTTTCAAAATCACAACTGTGTAAATGTTAATTGTGGATGCACCCAACATACTGTTGTTTTGGTGCAAAAACTGGATGTGGTAAACATGCTCACGTTTCAGGATAGCTGTGAAATAGGATGCACTATAGACTTTATTACTGAGGTGACTAGGGGTGCCCTAAGTGTTATGCATTGTAGTGATATCTATACTAAATGCATGTCAGTAAAGATTGATGCAACTGAATATGTTATTTGTCTACCTAATTTGGTTGAGGGGGATTAAAGGTGACCTGTATGTTGAATACTGGCAGTGCCATTGTAATTTGAGAGAAACTGTCATTGAGGTTGTAGCAACAACAGAATTATGATGAAATTCAAAATTAGGAATTCAACATCTCAAATACACACATACATGTATGGGATGAGATGAAACCTGATGATGCATAATGATTTGTTCCCAGTTAAATGATGGCAATTCCTCTTGTGTTAAATTACATGTATATGATTCATGATGAATTACAGGTCATTTTTTAAACCTCTAGTAAGGTATTGCTGGGCCCTGTAAAATGCATTTGCTAGCATTCTTATATTTTCAAGTTGATGAATAGGGATATACATGTACTAAAAATTCTTAAAAAGAAATAAGCAAATAATAGTAAAATAATGACACCTGGTTGTATTTCTGAAGTAGCTTCTGTTTTGTTTGTTTTTTAATTTTTTTTGTTAACCTTGTCAAATATTTTCACAGAAATATTTCAGTAAATAGCTTTTGTTAGGATGTTGATATTTACAAGACAAATGGGATTACACATTACAGGATAGACTGATTTACTTTTAAAACACTGACCGCCATAACTTGGGGGCTTCCAAATACAAAAGGAAAGATTCTTCAGTGAGTCAGGTGCTAGTTGTGACATCAGTGCACAACCTTTCTTTTATTCAGCAAGCTTGAAGCCCCCCCCCCCCCCATTAACACTGTATGGCTGATATAGATATTAACATAAAAAACAGCAACCAAACGATCACTGTATATTTCTTTAGATTATTTTTTAATAATTGACATTACTGTATATGTCCTTTTGGGTGAAAGATTTTCAATTAAAATTCCTATTGTTGTTTGGGAGAACCTATGCCTTCTTCAAATTCTTTTGAAAGCGAACAGACACAAATACATGTACAGATAAAAATTGAGGTCCTCAACTCCTCATTTTAATTTATGGCTACTTTTATGTACTTTTATGTATGCAATTTATGCACCTATGCCAAGCCAACATGTATGTGTTCCTTTTGACGTTGCAAGTTCTTGCAAGTATGCGCTGATCACAGTGTTCAAGGTCTTATTTACATTGATAGAAACTACTGTAATGTCACCATCGTCACTGTTCCTATTATTCTTGTCACTATAGATTGAAAATTTGTTTGATTTGGGGCTACATTATGAATTTTTAAAACTAGCTGCGTGCAAGTCCTTATAATCAGACAAGAGACAGAACTTGCTGGACATGTAAGAAAATCGGTACAAATTGAATAGCCTTTTTGCTCTCATGTACATGTAGTAATAGTTGTTAAATGTTTTTAAGCTTAAATATGCTTGAGATGATATGATGCATATCTACCATTTTCATATTAAACAAAATTTGTGCAAATTACAAATAGGCCTGTGAACATTGGAGTAAACTGTTGTTGTAGTCTTGTTTGATTGTATTCATGCAGACTGTAATTCTTTTAATTTGTGAAGTTCAATGCTCAGGTTACAATTTTTAAGAGACATTTTGAAACATGGTCAAGAATCATGCATTGATATATTCATAATACTTTTACTTCAAAGCATTATTCCGCAAATAAAAAAACAATTGACTGTATATTTTATAATTTGGTCAAAGTCTATCAGTTCGCTGTACATGGACAAGACAGTTATGTATCCATTCGAATTTAATTTATTTCAGTAATGGTGTAGTTTCAATAAAAAAAAGTTTCACAGTACACAGACCAAATTGAACACGCTTTTATAACAATCAACATGAAATGATTTATTCCAGTACAAAAATAGTTCAAATTGCACACTATAATTGTTATATACCATGGGTTCCATTTGATAAATTACAAATCATGGATATAAAATGCATTTATTAAAAAGCTGCTGTAAAACCATTATTACAAGTATAAGTGTCTTTACATTATCTGTGAGATTACACATACTAAACAATGGAGACGTGAGAGTTTGAAAGACAAAAAAGTGTCCTTATGGAGAAGGTGATTTTTGCAGTGGTAGAGAGAAAAGAAACATTTTGAAGAAAGAGAGAGGGAATGTTCAAACAGGTACTCGTGTGAAAGAGAAATTACATGAAGAGGGGAAGAAAGATGGGGAGAGAACGAATTTGATGAAGAACTGGGTAACCATGTATGGTTACATCATGGTTTCTTAACCATGGTTTTTTAGCAATGGTTATCCAATGGTTCAACCATGGTTTTGTTACCATGATTTTTGTACCATGGTAAAACCATGGTTTTAAGCATGGTTTCATAACCATGGTTTTTTAACGATGGTTATTCAATGGTTAAACCATGGTTAAAAAACCATCGTTAAGAACCCACGGTTAAACCATGATATTGCCACGGTTAAAAAACTATGGTTTTTGAACTATTGTAAAACCATGGTATAACCATGGTTCAATAACAATGGTTTTTCAACGTTGGCAATATCGTTGTTTAACCATGGTTTCTTAACCATGGTTTTTTAACGATGGTTATTCAATGGTTTAACCACGGTTAAAAAACCATCGTTAACAACCCACGGTTAAACCATGATATTGCCACGGTTAAAAAACTATGTTTTTTTAACTATTGTAAAACCATGGTATAACCATGGTTCAATAACAATGGTTTTTCAACGTTGGCAATATCGTTGTTTAACCATGGTTTCTTAACCATGGTTTTTTAACGATGGTTATTCAATGGTTAAACCACGGTTAAAAAACCATCGTTAAGAACCCACGGTTAAACCATGATATTGCCACGGTTAAAAAACTATGGGTTTTGAACTATTGTAAAACCATGGTATAACCATGGTTCAATAACAGTGGTTTTTCAACGTTGGCAATATCGTTGTTTAACCATGGTTTCTTAACCATGGTTTTTTAACGATGGTTATTCAATGGTTTAACCACGGTTAAAAAACCATCGTTAAGAACCCACGGTTAAACCATGATATTGCCACGGTTAAAAAACTATGGGTTTTCAACTATTGTAAAACCATGGTATAACCATGGTTCAATAACAGTGGTTTTTCAACGTTGGCAATATCGTTGTTTAACCATGGTTTCTTAACCATGGTTTTTTAACGATGGTTATTCAATGGTTTAACCACGGTTAAAAAACCATCGTTAAGAACCCACGGTTAAACCATGATATTGCCACGGTTAAAAAACTATGGTTTTTGAACTATTGTAAAACCATGGTATAACCATGGTTCAATAACAATGGTTTTTCAACGTTGGCAATATCGTTGTTTAACCATGGTTTCTTAACCATGGTTTTTTAACGATGGTTATTCAATGGTTAAACCACGGTTAAAAAACCATTGTTAAGAACCCACGGTTAAACCATGATATTGCCACGGTTAAAAAACTATGGGTTTTGAACTATTGTAAAACCATGGTATAACCATGGTTCAATAACGGTGGTTTTTCAACGTTGGCAATATCGTTGTTTAACCATGGTTTCTTAACCATGGTTTTTTAACGATGGTTATTCAATGGTTTAACCACGGTTAAAAAACCATCGTTAAGAACCCACGGTTAAACCATGATATTGCCACGGTTAAAAAACTATGGGTTTTGAACTATTGTAAAACCATGGTATAACCATGGTTCAATAACAGTGGTTTTTCAACGTTGGCAATATCGTTGTTTAACCATGGTTTCTTAACCATGGTTTTTTAACGATGGTTATTCAATGGTTTAATCATGGTTAAAGAACCATCGTTAAGAACCCACGGTTAAACCATGATATTGCCACGGTTAAAAAACTATGGTTTTTGAACCATTTTAAAACCATGGTATAACCATGGTTAAATAACAGTGGTTTTTCAACGTTGGCAATACCGTTGTTTAACCATGGTTTCTTAACCATAGTTTTTTAACCATTGTAATACAATGGTTTAACTATGGTTTCATTACTATGGTTTTAGTACCATAGTTAAACCATGGTTTATTTATGGTTTTGTTACCATGGTTTTTGAACTGCTGTAAAACTATGGTTAAACCATAATTTTGAAACCGTGGTGTAATAACTGTGGTTTAACCACGGTTTAACCATAGTTTTTAAACCATGGTTTATTAACAGTGGTAAAACCATGGTTTAACGATTGTCTAACCATGGTTATGTTGGTAAAACCATGGATACTCACGGTTGGATCCTGAAAACAGTCGATCCATTGTAAAACCATGGGTGAACCATGGTATTACCATGGTTATGATGGTAAAACCATGGTTTTTTTTTACAAGGGCAAGAGTTAGTCAATATTTATATTTTTATTATACAGTGTGATGGCTACATGCGGAAAGAGGCTATGTTAGAGGCTATGTCAGATGCGGAAGATGGGTAAGGGTTTTATATCTGTATTCTGTGTTCAGGGTGGTAGTGTAGAATGTGTGTTTTGGAATGGTAATTTAATTTCTAATTTAATTGTTCAAATATTTTGTCATATTAAAAAAATTATTAGTTGCAAGTAATGTTAGCATATTTTGTTGTAATTTAAGTTATTAATTTTTCATATTTAGTGTATTTTTTTAAATAGAACACCCTAATTTTGAAAATTTATGAGAGAAATCTATTTTTATTATTATTATTTTATTATTATAAGTCCTTGCATAGTGGGATTTTTTTTAAATGTCCCGTATTTTTTTTTGGGGGGGGGGGGGGGGGGGGGGGGGCCGGGGGGGCAATTATCTGCAATAAAACAAGATTTCCTGAAATTTTTTAAATGTTTATGAATGTGAAAACAGTGATCTATGAATTTGAATGATAATTAGTTATTCAATGTTTTTTATGTTAATAATTTAAAATTTCTGATGCTAATCAAAAAGTGTTTTGTTTGTGTTTATTGTATTTTTGTGTTTTGCATTAGTTGCCAATTGTTATTGGTGATTTTTGTTTGTTTTAGTTTTTTGGTTAATGTTATATTTTATTTGTATGTATTTGTTTACCCCCCCCCCCCCCACTCTTGCTATTATCTTAGTCTGTATTTGTTGCTAAATTTAATCAATTTACCCATCTTTCTTATGTCAAATACTTTTCTGTTAACATGCTACAGGAGGGTACCAGCATTGAATTCTACAAAGAAAATGTCAACAAGGACGAAAAGCCTCAGCCATTTGTGCTACGTACTGCTTGGTGGACAGCGTTGGAATCCTCACAGGCTTTTGTCCTTGTGGAGCATAGAGCAATACCATGTCGTATAGTGCACACAGCCATTGACATTTCATTCAAGATGACATATGTGCTGGATGTCAGTTACCAACCACATTGTTATTCTGTTTGGCAGTACCTACAACACTCGGTTTATAAGTTAGGTAACAGTGGAGACCTAGCTATCAGCATTGTCAGTGTTGAGATTTCGCTCTTGGCTCAGTCAACAAGACCAGTGATTGTGTAATTCATGAATGCTCTGAAGAAATGTTATTTTTTCATTGAATTATAAGATTCAGATGTTATCAAAATTATGATTAGTCACTCCAATAAAAACCCTTTTGTAACTTTCCCATGACTGATATTAAGCTTTGATAATTGACCTTTAAAAGGGAGTGGTGAATTTGGTAATCCTCTAAACCTTACAGGGAACTGTAGGAAATGTATCAATTTTATTAACATATATGCTATGATTGCTGGCCAAATAAGAATTGAAATAACTATTCAGCAATATAATTGCTTATCTGACTTTTCTTTCCTTTTTTGTGGAGAACATAGTTTCCAATGATGTAAAAGTTTGATACAGCATGCCTTTCATTATCTGCTTTTGTAGGATACATGGAAAGAATCGCTTTGGACAAAGTTCAAGCACGAACGAGCGCCCTTGGTAGATGAAAGGGTTGCTCTTCAGAAGGAGGTGTATGGCCACAAAAGAAAGAGTACCGATAACGCAGAGAAACCACTGTCTCCAATGAAGAAGGCAAAGGCAAGGAGTGCAACGGAGGTACGTGATACATATTTAGGTTTATACTATTAAATATTTGCTTGAATAGAGAATAGAGAAAATAAGGGGGGAATCAGGAAAATCAGGATAAAAAATCTGGTAAAAAAAAAAATTTAAATAAAAATCTGGATATTTTTTTTTTTTTTTTAAATCGGGAAGAAGAAAAAAAATTGGGATTTTTTTTTTTTTAACAAACCAGGTTTTTATCAGGTCTGCAGAGGAGAGATTATTAGGGCATTGTTACACTTCTAGAGTAAATCGAAAAACAGGCCGTATCGAGCAAATCCAGAAGAGTGAAACATATCAATACGTGCCCATGTCTAAGTTATGTGTATTATTCAATGCAACAGTACTGCAGCACATGATAACATATTACGGTCATACTGCGATGGTCAGTACTTCCAGACAACATTTCATGAAGGTGGAGATATAATCGTTCCCCTTTTGTTATACAAACTCACGGTTAAAGAGATGCACAGACGCTTCATTGAAATGAATGACGTTCAATGCTCATATGACTATTACAGAGAAGTTTTCAATAGTCTAAACATTTCCTTTTCAGCACCATTGAATGATCTATGCACTCAATGCTACAATCATGAACAAAAACACAGTCAACGTTCTGCTGAAAATGGACAAGCATGGGAACACAGCTGCGAGGAGTGTGGATGTGAGCTATGTGTAAGCTTTGAGGAGCACAAAGAAAACGCAAGAATGGCAAGGGAATCGTTACGGAAAGACACGCAAAGAATGCAAACATCCCCAAACAAGGTAGTCCTTGTGACAGTAGACATGCAAAAAGCGATACCCATGCCTCAAAGACTATTAAAATTAGACTATTGGAATGACTGCGAGACGAAGGACTTGATTGCCATTTGGTCGGAGGACAATATCCAGGCACAATTTGAAGGTTGCACTCGAAACCTACCTGTCTATTGGGATATATCAGCTGAAATGTTAAAGAAGGGGCATGAAAAATCAGCACCAGCTTGTCAGACAAAGATCAAGAAACTTTGGGCTGCGTACAAGAGTGCATCCAACAAAATGAAAAGAAGTGGATCTGGCAGAGTGGTCTGCCCACATTATGATTTATTGGATGCAGTTCTGGGAAACCGTCCAGAAGTAACACCAGTTGTGAACTCCCATCTTGGAGTAGAGGAGGTTGAGGAGAATGAAGAAGAGGGAGAAGATGAAGGAGATGATGGAATTCTACCAGGCTCTTCACAGGCTGAAGGTAAGATAATTATGTAGCAATGTTTGGACTACTTTTAAAGAATCAGTTCAGACTTGTGGGATGAGAATCTGTGGTTGGTCTAAACAGTTTCAAAGGAGAAGTGGACATAACTGATGCCCAAAGGGGTAAGGTGGTGTAGTGTCTTTAGTCACAAATAGTCTAAAATTGGGGATGTAAAATGATGAAAATATTGAAGATCCAGAATGAGACTTTACTTTCTATGCAGAAAAACATGGGATAAAATGGAGATTTTTAAGTCTTGCCATCAAGTGCAATGTTTCTACTTTATTTAAAGATGTTCCATGCAAAGTTGTATTTCCTTTAATTTTGTTGTCTCTTAGACATGGATCAATCATAAGACAGTGGTACTTTGGAGATGTTGCCCAGCAATTCTCACAGAAGCTTCAGAAATGCTCCCAACCCTGATGGACACTCCCGAGGTCAGTGAGTTGTGTGCAGGAAAAAAAAAAGGAACACATGACTGAATACTCCATGATCAATCTAGAAATAATGCTCATGTTGCATTATAGAGAATTGAAGATTGTCTTTATGTTGTGGCCCATACAATGCATGGAACTTAGCCAAGTGCGCAATTGATAGGGAAGGGAGATTTCTATTTTTCTTAGGAGCATTTACACTGTTGTGAGAGGAGTACTTACGTGTTTGTTCATTTTTTGTCACAGGAGACGCAATTTCCATATTCTTAGAAAAGTAGGGCTATAAACACAGTGTTTCGTTATGTGTCGAGAATCAGTGGAGTAATTTTATGATCATGTCATGTAGGGGTGACTTGTACATGCACTGCATAATTAATTTTATATTTTCTGTTCCTGTTATGTTGTCAGAGTTGGACCAATCATCCAGCGATAGTGTGACAGAGATCTCAGCCAACAAGACCGACACTTACACCAGAAGCGTGCCTAAGCTTGATGGACACTCCCAAGGTCAGTGAGCTATGTGTTAAAAAAAATGTCATTAACACAAGACTGAAAGCTTTATTGTGATCTAGACATACTGATATGGTGTTATAAAAAGTACATATATGTAATATAAAATACTTCTAATGGCAATTGCTGTCCCAAAGGTTACCAGGTTGTGTGGAGTTATGTTCACTTTATATTCTGTCCAATCTATAGTAGGGCTGTAGAGGATGACATGCTGCTTTTCATTTCACAATTAAAGTCGAAGGCCATTCCAGAAACGTGCATACTGAATGTAACACAAAATGTTCGAGAAATACTTGACACTGCAGTTGGTTGTCTTGAGAGTAAAATAGTTTCCATGAAAGAACACTATAATGATGGTTCTTTAAACGAGGGGACCTTTTTGGAAGCACAAGAATTATCCAAGTCTTTGAAGAATACATGCAAAAAATCAGGGACAGGGACTGAATATAGTCAGAGTAAGCGTCTAGTGGCAAAGGGGGTTCTTGTGGTGCCGAAAGAGCGTTTCTTGGGTATTTGCCATGCTGCCAGCATCTATAGATCAACAGGCCGTGTAAAGCAGGTACAAAAAAGAGAGAAACCTTCCCGTATGTATATAAGCTTCCCCTGGAAGCTTAGACGTGTCAAGAAGGTTGATCCTCTAAAAGCGAAAAGCCAATCAAGCAAATACCGTGAGAAGGAGCGAAAACAAAATCCATTGCATTACTAGGCACTGCTTCAGAAAGGCAGAGAAAGGAAGAAAGCTGCATATAGAAGTACCAGTGTAATGAGAGAGAATGAAGCAGGTCAGCAGAGAGAAAGTTGGACAAAAGCAAAGAAATCTCAGCGGGTCTCCAAGAAGATGAAGGATATCGAAAGAAGACTAGTAAGCAAAATGAAGAGTGTTGTGTTTGTAAGACTGTGCTAACAGTCAACGTCGAGGGCTCAATCCCCTTTATGTACACATGATCACAATATGATCGGACATCTTGGAATAGATTAAATCATCTCAACTTCTAAATTCATTGTATCTAGTTTTATGTCTCTGAGTTCCTAAATACTACATCTGGCGACGAGAATGGCTGGAATAGGTCTTGTAGCACCTAACCCATTCCTAGCAACCCCAGGAGAACCTCCTGTGCCTTGGTCATGATGGATTTTGAGCTTCAAAACGTATTTGACTGCAAGCGGGTTGGACACAGCGGAGATACCCGACCTCCGCCGCCGCGCAATCCTGATCCACTGTTTGGGCGCAGAAGGGCAGCGGATCTTCGGACAGCTGGAAGTGTCTACTACCGGTACGTACGATAAAGCTGTTGATGAACTTGAGAAATATTTTGGGCCGAAAACAAGTGTGATGATTGAACGATATCGTTTCCGACAGAGAGTACAAGGTCATGGGGAGCCAGTAAAACAATATGTGGCAGCCATAACTGAACTGGCATCCAAGTGCAAGTTTGGCACCTTAAACGATGAACTGGTTAGAGATCAACTAATCGAAAAGACGTCTATTGCCCGTATTAGAGAACGTCTGTTAATGGAGGATGACGGTCTGACACTTAAGAAGGCGCTCGATCTAGCGATCCAGATCGAAGCCGCAATGCTGGACGCCAAGCTCCTCAAACAACACGATGTGACTGTGAGTGCCAGTACAGGACATAGTCATACTGCACATCAGGCAACTCCAGTACAGAACATCAAACGACCATATCATAACAAAGCCCGCTCTAACCATGCTAACTCGAAGTCGTGTTCGAACTGCGGACGGACACACCCTCCGAAAGCGTGTCCAGCGTTTGGAAAACGTTGCAATTCGTGCTCGAAGATGAACCATTTCTCTAGCGTATGCAGATCTACCAAGAAAAGTGCATCTTCAGTTCGACACGTTGATGAACCAATAGAGGGCGACATAGCAAGCAGCGTGTTCACACTCTCAGACCGGATTTCTTCAGCAAATTCAGGTCAGTTCAAAGAATGTGAAGTGCAGATTGCTGGTACTAACCTCTCTTTGATGATTGATGTGGGGGCCAAAGTGTCAATTCTTAGTGATAAACTGTATCATCGACATTTCTCACATTGTAGCCTGTCATCGACATCGAGCAAGCTCATAGCATATGGTGAACCACCTACACTGATTTCCGTTCTGGGCACGGTTGAGCTTCCTGTCGGGTACAAGGATGTACATCTCGACAGCTTTACGTTCTACATAGCGAAGGGCGAGAGCCTTATGGGAGTCAATCTGTTCGATGCCCTAGGATTTCAGATGAACGACCACACTGGTGAACGCATTCGGCTCATAGACAATGCGTATAGAGAACGCTATGCTGCACTTTTCAACGAGTTTGGTAAATGCAAAGGATATTGCCATGCACCAAGGGTGGATTCCTCAGTCCCACCTACTGCACAGAGTCTCCGTCGACTTCTGTTAGCTGTCAGGGATGAAGTCTCAAAGGAACTTCATAGGCTTGAATCCGATGGCATCATCGAGCGCATCGATTCATCCCCGTGGGTGTCTAATCTGGTCATCGCACGCCGTAAGAATGGAGATCTTTGACTTTGTGTAGATTTGAGGGCAGTCAACAAGGCAATCATTCCGGATAAGTATTCACTTCCTACTATGAATGAACTTTCAGCTTCATTCCACGGAGCTAAAGTTTTCTCTAAACTAGACATGAGACGTAGCTATCTCCAGGTTCCGCTAGCAGAGCAGAGCCGCCATCTCACTGCATTCAACACACACATAGGCATGTTTCAGTATCGCCGTATGCCCTATGGACTGAACTCAGCACCTAGCGCATTCCAGAAAATCGTTTCTTCAGTTCTAGCTGGAATCGAGGGCACGTTGAATCTCCTTGATGATGTGGTAGTCTTCGGAGAGGACAAGGCTCAGCACGATCAACGATTAGCAGAAGTCATGACGCGCCTCGCCAAGCATAACTTGACGCTCAACGAGGCCAAGTGCACGTTCGCTGCTTCGGACATTGATTTTCTGGGATATCATGTCACTGCAGATGGTCTGACGCCTACACTCGACAACGTTGCAGCTATCCGAACACTCCCAGCCCCAACGAATGTGAAGGAGCTAGCCTCATTCTTGGGAACAACAAACTTCTACCGCAAATTCGTGCCACAATACGCAGAAATCGCAGAACCTCTGCAGAAGCTTCTCCGGAAGGACGCGCTTTGGGAATGGCACAACGCACAAGAGACCGCATTCAACACGCTCAAAGGAAGAATCCCAGAGCCGCCAGTTCTCGCTCACTTCACTCCAAGCGCTGAAACGTACGTGACTACAGACGCGTCAGCGTTCGCTATCGGAGCAGTGTTATCGCAAACGATCGACGGCAGTGTACGTCCGGTCGCATTCGCATCTCGAGCGTTGTCGGACACAGAGCGAAAGTATTCTACAGGAGAACGCGAAGCTCTCGCATGCATTTATGCCTGCGAACACTGGCATACGTACCTCTACGGTCGCAAGTTCACACTTCGTACTGACCATCAAGCCTTAACAACCTTGCTGAGCACTTCAGGATCTGGACACCGCCCACTCCGCATCTACAGATGGTCAGATCGACTGCACCAATATGATTTCAAGGTCGAATATCTCGCGGGTTCACGCAACCGAGTAGCAGATATGCTTAGCCGTACACCGAACGCGAATAGCAATCACGATAGCCATGCAAGAAGCGACATCGAAGACGACGTCGAAGACTACGTTCTTATGGTGATCTCTCACGTGACCGCAAAGCTTGTGACGCGTGAGCAGCTGAAAACAGAGTCAGCCGCAGATGCAACTCTACAGAAGGTCTGTCATTATCTCCAAACAGCATGGCCTAGAGAGATTTCCGAAGACCTCGTTCCATATCATCGTGTTCGCAATGAGCTAGCTATCTTCGACGACACGTGTATCGCCCGTGGCACCCGAGCGGTAATCCCGAAATCGCTTCAACATCGTGTGTTACAAACCGCACATGAAAGTCATCCAGGTGTTGTGAAGATGAAGCAACGATGTCGCGAAGCAATCTGGTGGCCAGCGATCGATCGACGCGTAGAAGATCTCGTCAGATCTTGTGAAGCGTGTACTCTCAGCGAGAAAACTCAACCGCGGCCAGCACCACTGCAGCCGACCCCATGGCCGAAGAAGCCATGGCAGCAACTTCAAGTCGACATCTTTGGGGAAGTTCAAGCCGCTCCTCAAAGTCAGCGATTTTTGTTAGTTGTACACGACCTCCATAGCAAGTGGCCTGAGATAGCAGCAACAAGCTCAGTCACTACGACATCAGTCATTAGCATCTTGGAGAAGATGTTTACCAAGTGGGGTCTTCCAGAATCTATCACCACGGACAATGGACCACAGTTCACGTCTGAACAGTTCGAAGAATTCCTAGCCGTTAATGGAATTCAACATCGCCTCACAACTCGCTACAACCCTCAAAGCAATGGCGGCGTAGAGCGTTTCAACCGGGTAATCAAGGAGAGCTTGAAAGCGATTCTCGCAGATGGAATGACCTTCGATAAGGCCATCCAGACCCTACTACGCACGTATCGCTCAACACCTCATTCGCTAACCGGAAAGACTCCAGCAGAGTTGATGTTGGGACGGAACCTCCGTATGCCATTCAACATCCTGAAACCACCGGTTTCAGAGCCTGCAAGCACACAGGCTGAAGCGAGAGAGATTGAGAGGAAACAGCAAAGCATGAAAGCGTACACTGACAAACGCAGACGAGCAATCACACCGAAATTCGCTATCGGTGACTGGGTTCGTGTAAAGCGTCCAAATCGCAAGCACAAACTAGCTTCGGGGGTATCGAAACCCAAACAGATCGTGAAGAAGCTCGGCTCGAATGCATTTGTACTAGATGACGGAACGCGATGGAACACCAGACGCCTTATCGCGAGCAAGCCAGGCAACATGAATGAAAGCGATTGGGAAGACACCTTTCCATTCCCTACAAGCACTGAAGATCAAGAGCAACAGCGAGCAGAACCGCGAACTGTTCGTCGTTCTCAGCGTCTAAGGAGATGACCTGGATATCTACGAGATTACAGATCTTAAATCCTTAGAGCCGACAAGTATTGAGCATAGAAATTAAAAAACTGGAACGTTTAAGTTTTGGACTCATATGAAACAATTGCTCAATATAGGTTAATAAAATTTCAGGCTTGTTGTTAATAAACAAGTTTTATTTTCTGGACTCATAAACTTTTGAACTCATATCTGGACTTAGTTATATAACATTATTCATCTCTTTAAAGGAGGGAAATATGTTGTGTTTGTAAGACTGTGCTAACAGTCAACGTCGAGGGCTCAATCCCCTTTATGTACACATGATCACAATATGATCGGACATCTTGGAATAGATTAAATCATCTCAACTTCTAAATTCAATGTATCTAGTTTTATGTCTCTGAGTTCCTAAATACTACAAAGAGCAGGAGGAAGAAGTCTCTGAGCCCACTCAACCTAAGAAGAAGATAAAACTTATGACCCCATCTGAAAAAAGAGAATACAATAGAAAGAAGAAGAGAGAAAGCAGTACTGAAAGGTCAAAGCAAAAGAAGACAGGAGATACAGGTAGAAAGAAGCAAAGGAGGAATCTGGAAGACACCGGGAAAGCTGACTAAGCTACTGAAAGAAACAAAGGATCGAGTCGTGCATCTTTACACAGACGAGCAATGAAGACCAGACAGAGCATTCCTATATCACCAAAGAGGTTTGCAAAAGTAGTTAATCAGATCATCAGAAGTGCAACACCAAAAAAGGCTGCAGAGCGTGAGAAGCATGGAGTAAATTGGAGTAAATTGTAACCCAGTACCGGCCGCACAGAAAAGATGTTATAGTAGCAGGTTTGTTAGCCCTAACAAGTCACTAACAAATCGGCCACTATAACAACACGGGTAAAATGACCGCACAGGAAGCGCTGTCAGAGCGCTGTTACAGCGCTGTTAGTAGATTTGAGCCATAGAGTTAGGTAAAATCTATGATTTGTGTGTAGTAATCTATTTATAGATTGATGAATCTTGTTGATGCAGCACTACATAGTGCATCGTTGTCTTCGTGAGTGACGTGTATTTTAACACAGTTCGTTAATTATCATCCGTTCATAATGGCGCAAAATAAACCGAAGAGAGTTCGAGCTCCAGACTACACTGACGAAGAAATCAATGTTATACGGAGTAGTTTTGTAAAGCACAGCTCTACATTGTAAGCTAAACATAGCACTGATACTACACAGAGGGTTAAAGACAAAATTTATGAAAGTACGGTATAAGACTAGAAGTGTTCCATTGCAGATGTCTTAAAAGCTTATTTAGAGCAACCAGGAATGATAGACAGCATTTTGCAATCTAATGCTGACATGTCAGATGACAGAATGTTAGCATCATTCAGAGATTGTGAGTACTTCAATGGCAGTTTCAAGGAAGATGGAGATACAAGTATGGTGTTACCTATTCTACTATACTGTGATGATTGTGAATGTGCAAACCCCTTGGATCTCGTAGAGGAGTACATATTAAGCTCTAGTCCTTTTTATATGTCAGTTCTAGCCATTCCAAGGAAACATCAGAGTGCGCTAAATAATATCATGCTAGTTGCTTTGGCAAAGTCAAAGCTAGTGGAAAAGCATGGTATTGATAGCATCATGTCAGTTATCACTGCTGATTTAGAGAAAGTGTATTCAGAGGGTATCTCCACAATTCGAGGACCGGATTAGACCCAAATTGTTTCAAGTTGTTGGGGACAACCTTGGACTACACGCAGTATTAGGGTTTGCGTGTGGCTTTACTGCAAATTTCTACTGCAGTGGATGCAAACAGCACAGGGAAGTAAGTCAAAAGGAGACTGTGGAAAACAGCAGCCTGTTAGTGAAGGGTTACCTGGAACACAAAGTGTTTTCTATGAACCTAGCACTTGCTTTTTTTGTAGCTTTGTTGTTTGGAGAAGAGCAGGTCACACCAGATGTTTTGTTAAGCTCCTTCATGCTGTATTTATGTGATGCAGACTTATCAGCTGTACAATCAGCACTTGATGGCAGCTTGACAGAAGATGAGAAGAAGGCTTTGGTAGATTTGCTTTGACTTGAACTACGAAGGAATGCTGGGGCTCGACGTAGAGCTATGGTTTCTCCCTTGTGCTCTGTAACCATCTAGGTGGGTTCTCTTTGTCATACCTCTTCCAGTGTTTGGTAAGTTTCTGGTTGAAATCTAGGAGCTCCTGTAAAGTGTATCCTGATCCGACCTTACAAAAAGGTGCCCATGATATTGGTGGATATCAGATCCACTTTCACAGTGTTAGAGTATGCCGTAGATGTACTGTTGAGATAAGTGATTTGAAGTAGCATTTTAGATCAGACTCACTGACAAACCGAAGTGAAGAAGCTTATGACCAGCAAGCAGAAGCAGTACAAAGCAACCCATGCAGGATCGGCTAGAATATATTTTTAATGAAATTTGTTATTGCCTGTATTCTTATTTTGCTACTAGGTAACAGCTGTGATCAATGACAATGTCACAGTCAAATTCATGCGCCGAAACAGCAGTGGTCTGTATGAATTTACAGAGGAACGTGAAGCCAATCAGCCCAAAAAAGATGTCATACGTACAGAAGATGACTCTACCCAACCATTACCCCAGCTGGAAGAGCTTACGCCAGTAGGCATTTCAGAGTGATTACGTAATAGCGTTGACCGCTCGCTCCGTGCACAAGCTTGCATAGCCAACACACAGGGCTGTCATATGTTCCTGTATTGTAGCTAAATTCCTAGTGCCTGGCACGCTCTTGCGTGCCTTGACAACATTAACAAAAAATGACATGATGATTTCAATGTCTCGACGTTTGGTCTTCTGATTGGTCAATTGCTATGAAATTACGTCATCATCTTAAGATAGGACCCTCGATTATTGTGTCTGAGTTTCCAACATGCAGCAGTTTTTTATTCGTGATTTTCATCAAAACAACAACTTCAAAGGGCAAGAAAGTACACATCTCATCATCGAATCAGCTGGAAAGAAGGTATGTACATATTTTGATATATTATTCACCGTTCTAGATCAATAACTTTTTGTTTGAAGTTAATTTAAAGCGAACGCAAAGCAATTTTAGATGACAATTCATAACGCAAAATGTTCGAATCGCGGAGCGTGTTGTGGCAATGTTATCATCGTACACCCGTTATAAACCCCTGATAATGGGATGATCCATTTTCGTAACGGGGTAATTTGTGAATGTTACCAATATTTTGTTTAAAATAAATACTTTTCTGCATTCAAACCCTGGCTTATATTATCAAAGCCGGTATTAGATTTATCGAAAATAGTTTGGAATGTATTTTAATTAGGAGTAAAAAGTGGATTTTTCATTATTTCATCTGTTGTAAAACCTGTTCTGATAATCGCCGTGTCCACTTCTGCGTTCATTGTCATAGCGATACATGTCCCCCGCCGCATAACTGTCCGCTCTTATGTCTCAAACTCGTCATTGATAGTCGATGTTTTCATCGCAAATTGTGCTTATTCCCCGATTATTTGATATTTCATGCTATAATTAAAGTATAAGCTATGGAAATATTGACCTATAATTTGTTTGGAACGCATTTTGAACTCGTGAAGACCGATTTTCCAGCATGAACAAAGATGTAAAATTTCAGTCCCACGCGTTCAATAATATGTTGTAAATTAACCCACGATGCCTAATTGTCCCCACACATTATGCGTCATTGATTATCGATGTTTTCATGGTAAATTATACTTATTCCCAATGATTTGATATCTCATGCTAAACTTTAAAGTGTAAACTACGGAAATATTGACCAACAATTTGTTTGGAATGCATTTTGAACTCGAAAACACTGATTTTCCAGCAGAAACCAAGACATGAAAAATTCAGTCCCACATTAAATTTCAACATTTTAATTTTAAGCTGATGATATATCAAGTGAAAAGCCTTCTTTCTTCAGAAGATATTTATTTGCTTTCGATATCTTTTAACTGGCTTCATTTTGGTAAAATTGTATGGCTTCGCCAGTGAGCAGGGCAGTTTATAATATTAATAATGTAAAACAATTTTATTTTGATATCATTGCATGTTAATTTGAATTAACATTGTGAATTTTATGTGAATATTTCTTTTACTCAGAATTCTGACTTCGTGGTTGAAAACTAGCTGAACTACTCACTTGAACTAGCTTGACATTTAGGCAGATGGAAGCACAGGTAAATAACATTCTAATTTTTGTTCTTCAATGAAATGAATGGGTTAAATTATTTTTCAAGAATTTTTAGTAAGCTTGCTATGCCTTGTAACAAAATGTAAAACTTTATTTTTTGTTTAAAAATACTGATAATTTATTTACTAAATTCATTACAAGAAGGCTTTATTTTGTAGTTTGTTTTTTTGTCAAAAATACTGAGAATTTATGTATTTATTATTCCATACTAGAAGACACAATTATGTCAATTTTATTTCCAATTTACAGGTTTCCTCATCTGACGAGTCCGACTTGCCAATGGCACTCCCACCACTCCAACTCCAACTCCAAGGCGAAAGCAACCAGCATGCAGAGGCCTCGTGCAGTACAGTGGAACCAATCCTCATTTCTTCAAGTAGTACAGGTATTTAATATTCATGAACACTTGCTATAAAAGTTATAAAAGTGACAACTAAAATTGAACTTAGAATGTACCTTCTCACAATGAACTTGATTATTTAGATGTAGGCCTAAACCTACGAAGCACAGAGGCTTACAAAATGCTTACCGTATTTATTTACCAGTACCAATAATCTTATTTCAACACTCACATTCATTGTTTGCTAACACAGACTATGATTAATTCAATAAAATATTTGAATATTCAAAGTATTTATAGTATACTAGCAATGTACCTTTTTATAATAAGTATAGACAGTGGAACATAGAATAAATAATTAAATCAGTTTCTTTCTTATTTCAATTTCCAATTTTCTCCAGGTATTGGGCCTTACTGCAAAGCAGCTGGGATAACTACAAGTCAGCTGCAACAGAATTTGGAGGGAGTTCAAGTTCTTGGAGTACTAAAGAATGGACTTGTTCTAGAGCTGTACGATTACTTCATAGTACGTTTCAAATACCAGTTGAAGTCTCTTGTAATTATGTTACATAATATAGCAGGTTGCCCAGAAGCTGACAGTCGAGTTGTGAGCAGTTACCTCCGGTCGTTAGCTGATCAAAGAAAACGAGTGAGAAAGATCAAGAACAGAGAAATGCATCTGCAGGAGCTGTTCGAGGCAGAATTTAAGATGATTCAGAAAAGACAACTAAAGGAGCCTGACACACCTCGAAAAAAGAAATTGAGAAACAGCTTGACCATTGCCAACAAGGAGTTGAAACAAGTAAATAAAGCGAAGAAGAATCTGCTTGCTGAAAAAGAAATGAGGAAAGCAGAAGTTCAGGACCTAACAAGAGAAGTTGAGACATTGACGAAAGACAATGAAGAACTACAATGCACGAAAATGTCGCTTGAAAGAAAACATGCAGATACCTTGCTTGAAATGGAGCAGATGAACACAAATTTCAAACCCCTTGAAGACGATGTGGATCATTATGCAAGAGGATATGATGCAGCAGCTGACAAGCTGAAACAACTCGAATGTAAATATGATACTCTGCAGTCACCAAAAAACTGTCGAAATTGGATACTAGAAACATAAACCGAAAAATGAAGAGAAAAGATGAAAAAATCAAGATGCTAGAGGGCAACCGTTCGAAGTTGGCTGAGCTGGAAAAGGTAACGATTGAAGTGAAAGAAGATTTGCGAGAAACCAAGGACAAACTGATTGAGACAGAAAAGGAATGTGTTCTGCTGCAAGATGAAATCAAAGCGAAACGAGATAAGGCAAAACAAAAAGGAAAGCAGGCTTGGTACTATAAGAAACGCTCTTCAAGTCCTGGTAGAAGTAAGGTGCCAATGAACACCAGCCCCGCCAGTGAAACTCATATTTCACGTATTACAGTCCTTCAACGCAAGGTGCAGGATCTGGAAGGACTGCTCGAGTTACTTCAGGATGATGATATCCAAACCTTTGAGGGAGGGAGGTACACAGACGAAATTTGTGAAACAATAATGGAGCTCCTGTCTCTAAATGTATCAATGTCGAAGGTCTCCACAGTCATTAGACTTGTCCTAAGAAAACTGGCAAAGAAGGATGTTGCACGGATGCCATCTATTGGTACCATTTCCCAATTTGCTCTTGAGGCAAGGCATCTCGCTGACATAGAGATTGCCCAGTCAATGCTTAACAACACTACCGGAACATTAGGGAACTGCATCCATGGAGACGGCACCACCAAGTATCATAAAAAATACCAAAACTGGCAAGTTACCCTACCAGACGGCACGCAGAAGAGCTTTGGCTTGATGGAGATGGCGCAAGGAAATACCGATGCAGTTATGCACTCATTTGAACACAAGATCCAGGAGTTAGTCAATGCACTCGGCGCTGTGGATAAAGGGGATCCCGACAGGTTATACAAGGAGCTAATTACTAGCATCAGTGCCACCATGACGGATCAAGGTCCTACGATGCCTCAGTTCAGTGATCGTGTTGAATCACTTCGCCGTACCCTCCTCCCCGAAGTCGTTGAGCACTGGGAAACACTTCCAGAAGAAGTTCAAAAATCTGCTTCTGACTTTGGACCCTTCTATTGTAGGATGCATCCTTTGATTAACTTTGCCGAGGAAATCAACAGAACATTGAAGGCATTCGAAGACATATGTACAGACGGGAAAGGAACTCGAGCCTTGTTCTCAGGAGAATCTGGTGCAACTCGACTTGTAAGAACTGCTAGCAAGGCATTCCACCATAGGGGCTCAGATAAGTGTGGCATAGAAGATTCTTTCACAGCCTATCTGGAGCATGAGTATGACGTGAAGAATTACCTAGTCCATTACGTGGGCAACCGAGCAAACATCATTTTCGAAGGTGCTAGTGCCCTCTACTTTCACATCGACCACATTGTGAACTTCGTTGGTCTCCTGCCAGATCCAAATCTCCTACTCAAAGCTGTGAGAGCAGACGCTATGGAAAAGGTTTTCCGTGCCGAATTAAAAGCCCTGGGCATCTTCTGTAAACTGGTGACAGATCCCCTGTGGCACATCGTCAAAACTGCCGACAACATTCTCGACTTAAATGATACATTACACCACGCTCAGACCATGCTGCAAAGATTAAAAAATGATGCAAGTTCAATGCTGCAAGGAGAGGCCGTCTTCCCATCAGTTCCTCTGAAGAAGGATGTACTCTTTGACAGACTGTTTGATGAGGAGAGCGACAGTGAGATAGACGTGATGTGCATCCAAGCTCTGGAGCTGATTTGCTGTGCAGTTCTCCTCATCTTAGAAAGCCAGTGCAGGGATCAGCTCCCAGGAGGCCGATACTGGAAGCCATCTAAACAGACCATGGACAAATGATGCACCATGCGTTACCCTGGGGTACCGTAGTACCCCGGGGTACCGCGTTGTGTAGAGCCATCTCGCGTCCACTCGAGTACAATGTATGGAGTGCGTGTACATAGTTCCGTGGTAACTCGATCACAAGCGCACTACGGTGGCTATCGCACACTATAGTGCTAGCTAGCTCCGGCGTCCGGTCCCGACCCGTGGCTATTTTAGAACTTGATGTTATTGCACGTACGTACCGTACCTGTATACTCTTTCGAGAAAAAAAACAACAAACAAACATCGCATCATCGACATAGTTAACGCGCGCGTTACTGTCAAACTTTCAAACTTTGAAAATGCCATGGGTGGAAGGTGATGGTGGATATGGGGATTTACTGAAAGGGAAAGGACGTAAAAGACGGAAGATTACAAGGGCCGAGAAAGTTGAAAGAGCTCGATCTCGTGCTGTAGAGAAGTTGGGGGAGGAGAAGGCCGCTGATGTGGTAGCGGTGTTTAGGAGGGCGAGTGACGGGGGAGACAAGGAGCAGGCTGATGGTGTTATTTTGACCCTGCTGGCCTAAGCCCTCTCGCAAATCGAAGTCGTAGCCCTACTTCATGTTGGGGGCTATAGAGTTGCTAGACTTGCAAGGTATGAATCTGAGGAGGAGGAGCTACGAAAACAACGAAGAGTAGCCTGGCATGCTGCCACCGAGGAGGATAAGCAGGCTATTAAAGATCAGATTGATAGGTGGGATATTGAACCAGGTTACCCTTGCCAACATCGCAGGCCGCTGGAATACCTAGGGTGTGCTGGAAAGGAGTGGCAACAATACTACAACGAATACAAAGAGGAGAGGTTGGCAGGTGGTAAAAGGGTCCTGAGTTTGGTAAGGTGGAGGGAGTATGTTCGTGCATTCCGACCTCGGCTGAGGCTAAAAAGAGCAACAACTGATAACTGTAACAGTTGTTACAAAATCGAAATTGAGCTCAAAGATCCTACGATTTCACAGGAGCGGAAAGCTGAACTAAAGCTTCAAAAGAAATGCACCTGGAGAAGGCAATTGTCCAGAGGAGAGCCATGAATAAAGCGATAGCAGACTACCAGATTGCTTGGGCACCTGAAGAATGCATTGTTAAGGAGGCCCTGTCCCTCGTGGCAGATGATTCAGTCGAGAGTGAGGATCTGGCAGGTAAGTTGTTATTTATTAGGCCTAAAGTTTGCTCTACATGCAGATCTAACGTTAGAGTCTACCAACTTTATTCAGAAAACAACTAAAATGTCTTTATCACTTGCATGCAGACCCACTGTTACACAAAATGTAGTGACTACTGACTAGTGTAATGTACAATTTTTTAAAATTGCATAAAATTATTTTTATTATGATCGATAATGTATCATCACGGGCTGTATTACCGGCAGGCACCTATTACCAGTCAAGCGCTCTATCACGTACAGATTTTTTTTGTACGCTCGGTATAGTATGCCCAGCCAATTCACTGGAGACTTGAAAGTGCAAAATCGGGAAAATGTGAGTATTTTAATTAAAAGTACTTTTTTACATAAAATTTACTGTATTCTCACATTTTTGTTATAAAATATTGAGATTGAGTAGTTTTTACCCCGGAAATTGAGCTAAAATCATATTTTTTCGCAATTTAGCCTAAAATTATTGCAGTGGGTAATTTAACGAAGATGAGCGCGTAGCTTGATGGCGTTCGACGTGTCAAAAATCAATTTAAGAATACATGCAAAGTCCTACACAGGGCGCTGGCCGGTAACAGGTGCCGATTTTGCTCATATTTTTACCAAGCTTTTTTTGAGAGGGGTCATTTCGAATGAGATTTTTGACAAACCAGTGATTGCTGCATCAATCATTTTGCAAGAATATCAAAATAATATAGCACTTCTACTGTAGATTGGTGTGATGATTTGTATTTTACACATTAAAAAGTTCATTTTTGAAGACCTCAGAAGAAAAAAAATGACCGGTAATACAGCCCCCCCCCCCCCCCCCCCCCATCATACATCTACTGAAGTCTGTTTGAGTTTCAGTCGGTAGCAAAACTTGATGGATCTTACAATCGCAGTCCCTTCAATTATTAATTAGTCTATGTTAATTTTTCATTGTTTTTATCTTTATCGTGCTTAGCTACAGACACTAACCAGCCTGGATCTCCAGCTACTGCTACTCCGGACCATCCAAGTTCTCCTGCCATTGACCATCCCAGCTCTTCCCCTCCTAATACAAGTGACCAGCCCAGCTCTCAGTCTGCTACCATTACCAGTGAGTTTACAATCATTATGCTTAAAGATATTTTGTAATCCAAGTGCCTGTACCTTAATCATTAATAAAATCACATGTATTTCCTTTTCAGGGTAATTTTTACTTGATTTTTCAATTGCTTAGAAGTTATAGACATCCTCTCATTAAACATCAATTGCAGGTTCAGATGAAGAAGAGATGAAGTCTCAGTCCTACTCAGAGGGAGTCTTTGTAAGCAAATTATAGTAATTTTCTTTCTACTTCTCTACTGTCCCAACTCCTCCCCCTCCCCCCCCCCCCAAGTAATGAAATAAAATTAAAAATAATAAATAAATGAATTGAGAAAAATAAGAAAAAATGGATTTTCAAAAAATCTATGAAAACATAAAATTTACCCTTTTTTGTCATTGAAAAAAAAAGTCACGGACAAGGATCAGCCTGGGTCTTCTACTAGCACCAACGACCAGGGTTATGACCTGCCCAGCTCTTCCTCTGCTGTAGTTGACAAACCCAGCTCTTCTTCTACTCCAAGTGACCAGCCAAGCTCTTTCACTACCAGTGAGTTGTATTATTTGCTGTTACAATTTTCATTAATAATTACCAATTTATTTTACATGTGTTGATGGAATTGTTAGCAGTAATTATTGTTATCAATACCACTTCTTGTTTCTTTCCTCAGAGAAGATTTATTATTTTAATTCTTATAGAAAGATTAAATTAAATGTGAAATGAAAGATTACGTCCTTTGAGAAAAGTCCAACAACTGTGTAGTACTGTATGAACACAATCTTAACAAGTTTGTCCTTTGAAGTTTATTTTATTTGTATTGTTGCCCTAGCTCCTAATAAACCCTGTGATTCAATTTATTTTTTGCTCAATATTGAACAATGTTTGAACAATTCTTTTTTTTAAAGTTCCCTTAAAAAGCTGCATTTAAAACAGGTGCATGGTAAATGGAAATGACCTGTATGAAACGGATCAAATTCTTTGTAATTTCTTTTGTTGTAAACTTAATTGCTCCAGGCTCCCCTTCAAATTAATGTGAATTTGAAATCATCTGTAATTTTGAAAGAATCAAACAAAATATTACAACTTAAGTAGAAAGATTAACTTGCTGAACATGTCAGTCTTGATTATCTTCTGATGTTTAATTTATCTTATTTATTAAAGCTGAAGCTGCTACCTTAAACCAACCAAGAACTAGATGGAATTTTGACTGCGCGCAGTCGAAAATGATGCCTCCGCCATAGAGCAATTTAAACTAGAGAGTTACTTGACCTATTGTGACCTAAGGTCAAGCAGAAAATTGAGAAATTTGTCATTTTGTGTACAAAATGAATGGCAAAGTGAAGTTTCTAGTTTGGTCTATAAATCAGCATAATTTTACTCTTTAGAGTTTAGTTATCATTTATTCAAGCAAAATATTGATACGTAACAACCTCAAGTATCAGAAGTCCTAAAACAATACAATACATAAGATTAAGAATTAATAACAATAGAATACAAAAGAAGTTCATAAAACAATGAAATACATAAGAATTGAAATAGACATGGACAATTTTTTTATGTGATAATGCCCGATAGGCTTTTTAGAAACTTTTTGCCACAAAATCAACTCTGTAAAAGCTTTATTTATGTAATTGTTAATAAAAATCATTATTCATGAATTTGATTTGCATAAATTAGCATTATTGATAAAATAAGTAATTTTCAGCAAAATTATAGTGAGGTCTCTTCCTTTATGCAATTGCATAAATTAGCATAATTGATAAAATAAGCAATTTTCAGCAAAATAATAGTGAGGTTTCTTCCTTTGCGCAATTTCTCAAGACGCGTGCCAAATTTCGAGGCAATCGGCCCCTCCCCCCCCCCCCCCCAGTCAGGGAGGTGCTCAAAATAGCCCAGTTAAGTACGGGTTAAGTAACGGAACATATTTCAAGTGGTTCTTGACATATCATGACAAGTCCTATACATGTAGTCTGAATTTTTCAAGTTGACCTCTATGACCTTTGACATACATGTACTCCAAAATCTAATCTGATCGTTTTCCTATGGTGATATATATACTATCCTTAAGTTTGAAGTTTAAAATCTCAAATGGTTCTTGAGATATCGCGATAACGAGCTGAAGACTTGGAATTTCACAAGTTGACCTCTGTGACCCTTGACCTACGTGCTCCAAAATCTAAACAGATCGTCTTCCTATGGTGATACATACTATCATTAAGTTTGAAGTGAAAATTCTCCAGTGGTTCTTGAGATATCGCGATAACGATCTCAATGTATGGAATTTCATAAGTTGACCTCTGTGACCCTTGACCTTTGACCTACGTGCTCCAAAATCTAATCAGATTGTCTTCCTATGGTGATACACACTATCATTAAGTTTGAAGTTTAAATCTCCAGTGGTTCTTGAGATATTATGATAACAATCTCAATGTATGGAATTTCATAAGTTGACCTCTGTGACCCTTGACCTTTGACCTACGTGCTCCAAAATCTAATCAGATCGTCTTCCTATGGTGATACATACTATCCTTAAGTTTGAAGTTTTTACATCTCCAGTGGTTCTTGAGATATCATAACAATCTCAATGTATGGAATTTCATAAGTTGACCTCTATGACCCTTGACCTTTGACCTACGTGCTCCAAAATGTAATCAGATTGTTTTCCTATAGTGATACACACTATCACTAAGTTTGAAGTTTAAATCTCCAGTGGTTCTTGAGATATCATGATAACAATCTCAATGTATGGAATTTCATAAGTTGACCTCTGTGACCCTTGACCTTTGACATACGTGCTCCAAAATCTAATCAGATCGTCTTCCTATGGTGATACATACTATCCTTAATTTTGAAGTTTAAATCTCAAATGGTTCTTGAGATATTGCGCTAACAAACTCAATACAAGGAATTTCATAAGTTGACCTCTGTGCCCTGTGACCTTTGACCTACGTACTCCAAAATCTAATCAGATCGTCTTCCTATGGTGATAAATACTATTCCCGAGTCTTAAGTTTAAATCTTAAATGGTTCTTGAGATATTGTGATAACGGTCAAACGGGACGGACGTACGGACGTACGGACGGACAACCCGAAAACATGATGCCTCCGGCACCACCTTCGGTGGCGGAGGCATAAAAATAGATTTTTTGGCAAAGTGAAATGCACTCAAGTTGGGTAAAGTGTAATTGCACAGAGGGTGAAAGTTAGGTCTGCATGGCAGTCAATTAGCTCTAAAGTTGTGAATGATTTCCTTTCTTTTCTTTTTTGATTTTTTTTTTGTACAACCATTTCCTTGCCAGATATCTAATTGAATAACTGAGAAAAGATATATTGTTTTTAATAATGTGTTTTCTCTTTCTTTGATAGAAATCAAAAGAGAACTGGAGGAGCAACAGGATTTTGTCCTGCTACAAGGAGAAGGTAATCTGGAAGTACCTCTTGCCCCACCAGCTCTGCCTCGGCTTCCTACTGCCCCACGTGCCCCAGCCCTGCCCGCTGCAGCACTGCCCGCTCCTGCCCCGCCTGCTCCAGCCCTGCCTGCTCCTGCCCCGCCCGCTCCTGCCCCTCCAGCAACCAAACCGATCAAAAAAAAGTCTAAAGCAGACAAGGTTTTAGAAACGGAGGCAAGGGCAGAGGCACCTGCCCCGCCCGCTCCTGCCCCTCCAGCAACCAAACCGATCAAAAAAAAGTCTAAAGCAGACAAGGTTTTAGAAACGGAGGCAAGGGCAGAGGCACAGAAAGAACTCTGTAGGCAAATGATGGCTGAATCAGCATCTGTGAGTACACATGTTATCATGAAGTAAAATTAAATAGTTTTGGAGCTCAGTAAATACTTGGTGATACCCTATCATTTCCAGACGATTCATTTTTTAATTTAATTTTGCGAATTTACATTATTCATGTGCACCAACGCAGTCCAAATAATCCCTTTAAATATTACGTTTGAAATTTAATGCTGATCCATATCTAGAAATGAAATGCATATTGATAGGTCAGCGTCTGTCTAGAAATATGTCAATTTCACTTCTTTCATAGAAACAAAACCAGATTTTCATCTCAAAATATAACAGTAAACACTGGTAGCTACATGTACAAGACAAATCAGTGTCACACACACACAACGGCTCATCATATTTTCACACAGGGTACAAATTTAAAAATTTGTTGATATTAATATACTTTATTTGTTATCACTTTTGAATTGTTAAATTTTCAGAGTATTTAAAGTCTGCTGTGCCCAACATTATTTTTTTTTAATACTTTTTTTAAAGTCTGCACACAGAGAAGAAATTTCTAGACTAAAAAGGAGGGTTGCTGCCTTGGAGGAGGAGGTTGCCAGGAAGGACACCATGATTGCAGCACATGAACAGGCGAGGCAGGGAGCCGTCTTCAGTGTTGGTATGAAACTGAATTGTGTGTTGCTTAGTATTTAATTAAAGATTTCGTGACACTCCTTGGTATTAATATTCCATATTATTTGGCTTGGTTCGGTATCAAAGTCAATTTTTTTTTTAATATATATTCTTTTCAACAGCAGCATCCTCTAACCCATGACAAAGCCATATCTTCAAACATGTTGATATTGCAATTTCATAGTCTAAGCATTGTAGAGAAGTGGTTTAACTTCATACCATGACACACCAATATCTATCAAGTTCATGAAGATATGTGGTTGTAACTGTTAGGTTAATTTTGATTTATCATGTTTTTAAAATATTTTTATGAATGCCAACAGTCCATTTATATCAATGGAAAGCTGAATGAACATAAAATACAATTATAAAGGAATACAAATTATTTTCCCTTTCATTATTGCAGCAAATTAAATTACGGGTCAACAGGGGTCAAATTTGCCGCAGTTACTGTGATGACATAACATGGACCAGATTGGCTCGCCTATATAGCTGAGGCGATGAGCCATGCCTAATTGATGTCATCAAGTTGAAATCTAGTTTTAGGTTGACAACTTCCGATTTTTCAAAGCTTCGGATTTTGATGTTTTCAGAGAGCTGTTACTCCTATGACAGACACTAAAATAGCATATACCGGTAATTGATACCATTGTAATCTATGGCTTATAAGCTTTCCGTTGTTGAATTTGTCACTTCCGACAGGGACTTTAAGGTATAATTTCCTCTTTTTGTTTCAAATACAGATATCACCCCAAAGAAAAGGAGACTGATACAAGAGATCAGTGATTTGGTCTCTGGCCAATCTGTAAGCAACATGGTGAGTTTAAACAATTTATATAATTAATTATAAAGTGGTGATTAACTGAAAGGGCTGATAATTTGAAGAATACAGCTTGTAAGTCTGTGATATTTTGTATTTACATTTGAATCTTAAAAATGTTTGCACTGTAATCAGATCAAATACGATCAGTCTATTTTTCCTTTTGCAAGATGTGGCATAATTGTCAAAAAAATTGTATTATTTTCTTCTGCCAAACTTGCTCACCAAAGCACCTTGAAAACAAGGTCCTCAAGACCTCAAGACCAGAGACCCAGACCAGACCAGAGACCAAGACCAGAGCAGAGACGAAGAAACCAGAGACCAGAGACCAAGACCAGAGTATGGACTGGTCATGTTCTGTAAGTTGACCTCTTTTGTATATACATTTTTATGCCTCCGTTACGAAGTAGCCGGAGGCATATGTTTTCCGTCCGTACGTCTGTACGTACGTCCCGTTCTCGTGATCGTGTTATCTGAAGAACCGATTGATGGATTCCTGCCAAACTTTGGTCATGTATGTATCTTGCAGAGCCGATGAACTGATTAGATTTTGAGGTCACAGGTCAAAGGTCACAGGGCTCATTATGTATGCAAAAACAGCTCGTGATCGCGTTATCTGAAGAACCGATTGATGGATTCCTGCCAAACTTTGGTCATGTATGTATCTTGCAGAGCCAATGAACTGATTAGATTTTGAGGTCACAGGTCAAAGGTCACAGGGCTCATTATGTATGCAAAAACAGCTCGTGATCGCGTTATCTCAAGAACCGATTGATGGATTCCTGCCAAACTTAGGTCATGTATGTTACTTGCAGAGCCGACGAACTGATTAGATTTTGGGGTCACGAGGTCAAAGGTCACAGTGCACATTATGTATGCAAAAACAGCTCGTGATCACGTTATCTCAAGAACCGATTGATGAATTCCTGCCAAACTTAGGTCATCTATGTTACTTGCAGAGCTGATGAACTGATTGGATGTTGGGGTCATGAGGTCAAGCGGCTCATTATGTATGCAAAAATAGCTTGCATGATCGTATTATCATTAGAACAGATTTATGGACTCCTACCAAACTTAGATCATTTATGTATCTTGCAGAGCCAATGAACTGATTAGATTTTGGGGTCATAAGGTCAAAGGTCATGGGCTCATTATGTATTCAAAAATAGCTTGTGAACGCATTCTCATTAGAACTGACGGATGGATTACTATTTAACTCAGGACATCTTGCAGAGCCAATTAACTGAGTAGATTTTAGGGTCATGAGGTCAAAAATCATAGGGTCATACATGTATATGAGAAATTGCTTGTAATCACGATATTCTGAGAACCTGTTAATGGATTACAATTGAACTTGAATTTGAAAAATTTCTTCTGTTTTGGTTTGTAAAATTGCTCTATGACGGAGGCATCATTTTCGACTGCGCGCAGTCAAAGTTCCATCTAGTTTTATCCTATGTTTTTGCATCAATTGTGAAAAGGTATAGGTTTTATACTATGTATGTGCTTTACTCCACTTCTATGTATTCGATTTGTGCCAGACTTGCCATGGCAATACCTTTCATTTTCTTTCATTTTTGAGAGGGAATTTTTTTTTATAGAGATATCAAAAGTGTGAATAATATTTTGTCAATGTTTTCAGACAGTCGTTATTACATGTACAAGTATTCAGAAGTCTAGCTGCAGCACTACAATGTCATTGAAATGTACTTAAAACTCGGGAAACATTAAAACCAGTTGCTACAAATATGATGTATCATGTATCTTTTGTAGATCTCTGTCAATGTTATTGTCCATACTGTTACTATTATTCCATTTAATTTGTAGCAAGCTTGCGGCAAGCTTGCGACGAGCTAACATCAAGCTTGCATATTTTGTAATTGGCTGATCTAGGTACCATTTGGATTCTTTACCACGCAAGCTTGCGAAAGCATGCAAGCTCGCCGCATGCTCGCTGCAAGATTGCACGCTTCTCTTTTTTACCAGCTTGCGAGCTTGCGCAAGCTTGCAGATTTTTAGACCTGCAAATATAATTCAATATCTGCAAGCTTGCTGTGTGAGCTTGTTTCAAGCTTGCCGCGAGCTTTTTTCAAGCTCGTTACTAGCTTGCAGGGTTCCAAAAATGCAAATGAGTTTCATCTGTCAGCCAATCAAAACAGAGGAAATATATTTTCAGGTCTAACAAGCTTGCAGCAAGCTTGTTGCGAGCTCGCAGGCGAGCTTGCTGCAAGCTTGCACTGCAAGCTCGCGGCAAGCTTGCACCAATTTCCATGAGGGTTGTGTCTTGGCATATTTGAAAATAGTTGTTGGCAGACCATTGATTGGTTACTTTGACAATTTGTATTTAAATAAGCAATTGATCTTGTGAGGAAATATTTCAGATTTTTTGTGAAACACTTGGGGAGGCATTTGGTGTGAATTTGTCAAAATCTGTGGTTTGGTTAACAAATTTATATCTTGAAATTTTATGATTTGATGTAAGGTAATCAGTATTTACTACATTTATTAAGTATATACATGAATAGATGTGTAATTTGCCACTTTTAAGTGTAATGATTTGTAACATTTTGAAGTATTTTTGTTTGTTTTTTATTAAAGGTTTGAAGTGCCTTATGAGGTGATATTCGTCGCGGAAGAACGCGAATACGAAGTCATGATCACTGAAGAGTCAGTAATCGAGATCGACATGGGTAACCTTCCAGCTATGGGTGTAATTGCCATCACGCATGATGGAACTGTTACGGTATGTGTGTCGTTAAGGAAGGTTACGGAGGGAAATGCAGAGTGAGGTCACGTTTTGTTCCTTTTTTTTTTTTTAGTTACATCTGTTTTATGTTTATTTGAAGGCCTATGGTTTGTTGTTATTTGATGTTAAGTGTTAACTTTACAGTTTTTTGAAGTTGAAAGTAAAGTTTATGTTATAGTTCTGTAGAAATTTTGTCAAAGTTTTCATAGCACATGCAGATATTATGTGTTGTGTTATTTCATGCATTTGCTATTGTTGTCAGTGGCGTACGCAGGATTTCTTTTAGGGGGAAGGGGGGGGGGGGTGGTTTAACATTTTTTAAATTTGGCCCGTGATATTGGTGGGGGGGTAAGGTCTGCTTTTTGGGTCACCAATTATCACAATTTTTTTTTTTTTTTTTAAATAAATAAAAAAGTAAAAAAAACAAGGGGGGGGAGGGGAGGGGGAGTTTTCATCCAAAGCACCCTTCCCCTGCGTACGCGCCTGATTGTTGTTCATTAACAGTATTGAATGTTTGTGCTTGATCAAGTGGGAAGTTATATTTGAAGAATTTGTTCAGAGAAAGAAGCTACATCATTGGGAATGTAATGATAAAAACATTATTTCTGAAAAATGTTGTATGCAAGTTACATTATATCTAGGGAAAAGTTGTATGGTAAGATGATAAAAGTAAAATTTGTGGCATATATGATTTGTAAAGAATTTATTACACTATTTATTTGACGGACTATCTTTTCAAAACTAAACGTTTTAGGACTTTGGTTTATTTTTTTTTTAAATGATGTTATTTCGTAAGTCAGACATGTTTTATTTACATAATGGTTTATCTTTTGTTATAATTATGTAAGTAATAATGCAGATGCAAAAGATATGTATTGGGGAGAGTGTTTTTGGATGTTTTGAATCAAAGCAAGCAGGACATATTTTTCTTGTCAATACAATATGTTGAGGTCAATTGTAGCGGAATTAGATATAGTTACAGTGTTACATGTAATATTTTTGTATTTGGCCATGTTGATTTTTTTTTATATTTGTAAGTCGGTTTTTTAGGGTATCAGAAATTATTCCAAAGTTTTTTGCCATTTAGATGTAAAACGTGACAAATCATAACATGTAATAACATTTGCATAGTACCTTTTTTTTATTATTAGAGAAGTGTAAGGGGAAGGGGCATCATCAGGAGATGTATGATAGGGATGTAAGATATTTGTTACATTATGCTACTGATATGAGCGTTTTATATTTGTATTAAAGTTTTATGTTAATATATAATCCTGTCTTTGATTTGATTGATGTTATTGAAAGAGAAAGAGAGAGGCAGAGGGAGACAGAGCAAGAGAAGAAGAGGGAGACAGAGCACTCGGAGAGGAAGAGAGAGAGAGAGAGAGGGTGAAAGTGTAGAGAGAGAGAGAGCTTGGAGAAAAAGATGCAGAGACAGCTGACTGAGCAATATTAAGAGAAGGAGATGGGCAGACCAAGAGAGTGGATGGGAAAAAGAGCAAGAGAGATGAAAAAGACAGATAGAGAGAGAGAGAGAGAAGGAGATGGAATGAAGATCGATCGATGCATTTAATGTTTTCAGCATTAACAGAATTTAATATTTATTATATTGGTGTAGAGAAAAGTATAGACATGTGAACAATTTTAAGTCCATGGATTGGACGTAAACAAGGGGAAGGGGCATCATCAGGAGATGTATGATAGGAATCTAAGATATTTGTTACATTATGCCACTGATATGAGTGTTTTATATTTTTATTAAAGTTTTATGTTAATAGTTAAATATATAATCCTGTCTTTGATTTGATTGATGTTATTGAAAGAAAAAGAGAGAGGCAGAGGGAGACAGAGCAAGATAAGAAGAGGGGGACAGAGCAGTCGTAGAGGAAGAGAGAGAGAGAGAGTGAGAGAGAGGGTGAAAGTGTAGAGAGAGAGCCTTGAGAAAAAGATGCAGAGAGAGCTGACTGAGCAATTAAGAGAAGGAGATGGGGAGATCAAGAGAGGGGATGGAAAACAGAGCAAGAGAGATGAAAGGGACAGAGAGAGACAGACAGAGAGAGAGGGAGATGGAATGAAGAACGATTGATGCATTTAATATTTCCAGCATTAACAGAACTTAATATTTATTATATAGGTGAAGAGAGAAGTATAGACATATGAACAACTTTAAGTCCATGGATTGGACGTAAACATTGCATATAATAATTTATATGGGCTTAATAACTGGAAAATATAAACGCCTCATGGGAAGGAGATTTGATCATAGAAATGGAATGATTTGATGTTGTAGAAGAATTGAGAGAATTGGGAGGTTAATAGACTGGGTAATAGACAAGGATTGAAGTTTATCATAGCCTAGGTTATTGTACGCACACTATATTGACATTACTGCCCCAGAGTGAGAGTTAAAGGACGCAAAATTGAGCATTTTATTTTGTGATTATATATAGATCATGTTAGAGTCTATATTTATAGCCGAAGAAAATGATTAAATCAGGGATATGAGAGTTTATACCCTGATTAAATCAAATAAGAAACGAAAGATAAAACAAAAGAAATTTCCCGCACGGGAACGAATCTGAGACACTGTGGATTGGGAGTCGAGTGCTATAACCAATAGACCCACATAAACCACATTGACGTTTAAGCTATTTAGAGCTTTAATATTTTAACGCATTGCACTTGAACTCTAGCGAGCTTGTTTGTTTGAGGCCGACGTACGGAACAGTGCGTACGAGTCGTCGCCCGCCCGCACGGCGCGGGCGCACGCAATTATCAAACGATCGTACTATGATCTACACACATGATACAGATTTTCGCAGTGTAATAATTCCTGTAGGGTCTACCGTTGTCATTTTGTCATTTTGAGTAATTCAAGCTGTTTTTTGTGGTATTCTGCAATTAAGCGAAATTCAACGTGAGTATGAATTAAGTTTTTTTACTCTTTTATTTAGGACAATATCATGAATGTGTTGCCTTTCCAATTATAAATAGTATTTAGACCTAGATCCAGATCACTCCAGCAAAGCTTAGAGAGTCAATGCTAATGCGTATTGTATGTAGCACTGCACTACGTGTTAATAGGCAGCATTTGAATACATGTATAGTCAATACACTCACAACACGCAAATGCACAAAATCATGCCGATTGGACTGTAAGCAAAGTTTTACAGTAGACTTACAATTGGAAATTTAAATTATTCTTTTTAACATTAGTAAGTTGAAACAAATTTTTTTTTTTACTGTTATTAAGGTGTCATCAATTGTTTCTAAAGTACCGGTTTTGAGTGAAATCAGTCGAGTTTTGTACAGTGGTGTTTGAAATGTAGAGAATCAAAAGCACAACTTTTACTACACAGCCTGGATAGTGATGCTCCTATGTGTGATCTAGATGTATCATTACCATCTAGGGCTAGGCCTATACCGGTATTGTTGTACCCACACAATATGGATTTAGGGTCTGGGTGCATTATTATCCTGGATTCTCAACATTTCAAACACCACTGTACGAAAGTTAAATGATTTTACTAGAAATGGGTACTTTACTTTGCTTTAGTGACATTTGATGACACCTAAATAGCAGTAGATCTAGATGTAGACCTAGATCTAGATTTAAAATACAATTGTTTCAACTTTCCGATGTTAAAAAGAATAATTTAAAAACTCAAATTTTAATTGGGAGTCCACTGAAAGACTGACATTGTCAAACTTAATGATCAGTTGAATCGGTATGAATGAACACCAGCCCCGCCAGTGAAACTCATATTTCACGTATTACAGTCCTTCAACGCAAGGTGCAGGATCTGGAAGGACTGCTCGAGTTACTTCAGGATGATGATATCTAAACCTTTGAGGGAGGGAGGTACACAGACGAAATTCGTGAAACAATAATCGAGCTCCTGTCTCTATGTATCAATGTTGAAGGTCTCCACAGTCATTAGACTTGTCCTAAGAAAACTGGCAAAGAAGGATGTTGCTAAAGATAGGTAAAGGTGACTGGAAGCCATGCCAAACCGGAGTCATGTGGACTACTACATCAGTTCTTAGCTTAGCTGAGGAGCTTCTTGATGCTGGTCACAAATACCTTCTTACAGGTAGACTAACACAAGACTGTTTGGAAAATCTGTTTTCTGTCGTTCGCCTGAGGAAGCCGGTCCCATCCCCACTAGAATTCAAGTTTGCCTGAAACTCATCAGCACTGCCCAGTTTCTCACGCTGCCACGTTCAGGGAGTTACAGCCAAGATGATGGCGAATTCCTCGCTGATTTCCTGCAACAGGACGTGCAGGTCCCAGAGGAAGTCGAAGTCTCAGGCATCATCCTGTCAGACAACCCCGATGTCAGTTGTCTTGATGATGATGATGAACAGCATTTGTATAGCGCCATTTATCTGCAAAAGCATTCAAAGGCGCCTGGCTCCCTCAATATGTCACATATTATTCGCAATGTTGCCGGAAAAGATAGGTTTTTAGGTCTTCCTCCAGCAGAGCGCGCTAGCCTCTACAACCTTGCAGGCTACTGTGCCACCAGTGTTAAGAAGAACGAGACAACTTGCGAAACTTGCATGAGTGAGGTGACAGCTGAAGACACAGAAGACACACATCCTGATGCACAGCTCACCATGCTGAAAGAGTTCAAAACTGGATGCCTTTTTCGTGGGTAGCAAAAGCATGACAATGAGGAAGCTAGCCGCAAAAGTGAAGTGAAATGAATCAAGCATGCAATAAGTAATTTCCATTCTAGTTTTGAACACTTGAAGGGGTGAATATACATATATGAGGGCAATTAGGCAATGAATATTAACTTTTATTTGAGCTAAGTACACCATGTAGGTATACATGTACAGTGTATCCTAATACTGGATTCAGGACAAACAAATGTATATTTGGGGAATCAAGTGTCCCTTTCCACATTTTTGAAGTGGGATATACACACCTCATTTTCCCACGAAACTATTACTACTGAAGGTGGGAAAACTCTCGTCACGCACGCGAGCTGTAATTCCTGCTCTAAATATATTCAAAAAATCAAAAATGACGGGAGGGTGAAGGGCCAGGCTTTGAAAGACATTGTCAATTTCGCTGAGAATGACACCAGCTTCATATCCAGACACACACTAACCAGACACTGCAGCCCTCCTGAGGTGTCAAAGGGAGAAAGCAAGAAACTTGAGCAAACTGGGACATCAGCTGAATGTGATCACATGCTTGAAAATGGAACAGACACAGATCACAGTCAGAGTTTGAACAGCCTTTCTGAGGTGTCAAAGGGAGAAAGCAAGAAACTTGAGCAAACTTGGACATCAGCTGAATGTGATCACATGCTTGAAAATGGAACATACACAGATGACAGTCAGAGTTTGAGCAGCCCTCCTGAGGTGTCAAAGGGAGAAAGCAAGAAACTTGAGCACACTGGGACATCAGCTGAATGTGATCACATGCTTGAAAATGGAACAGACACAGATGGCAGTCAGGGTTTGAGCAGCCCTCCTGAGGTGTCAAAGGGAGAAAGCAAGAAACTTGAGCACACTGGGACATCAGCTGAATGTGATCACATGCTTGAAAATGGAACATACACAGATGACAGTCAGAGTTTGAGCAGCCTTTCTGAGGTGTCAAAGGGAGAAAGTGAGCAATTGGAAGATGATGACTATGTTCCCGAGTCAGAGGATGTCAGTGAAGGTAGTGAAGACAAGTTTACAATTATCCCACGAAAGTCCTTGAGAAAGTCTGTAGAGCAAGCTCCACCAAATCGCACCACATCACAAGAAAGTGAGCAACATAAACAAACTTGGACATCAGCTGAATGTCACGTGTATCGTCAGCCATTGGGCGAGTTGGCGCAAGGATCTCAAAATCACAACAAGTCCGAATGTGAGCAACAGGCCAGTAAAACTGAAAAGGGGACAAAAAAAATAACTGTTATGCGTACACACAACACAAATGGCAAACGATTGTGGGACAAAGGTTCGTATTGTCCCTTCTGCAGGAAGTACGTGAAAAAATTGCCCCGCCATCTTGCTGAATTTAACTCTTTGCCCGCTTCGTTCGGCTAGCGGAACATACAGCGGGCTGCCAACTTCGACTCAAGTCACATTTCATTCACAATACACACGGAACGCATTTAATTCTATTGTACGCACACACACAAAATAGTAACGCGTGCTTCGCATTGTATACACATCACACTTCATTGCACCACTTTCGCAGACATTGTTTACATTGACATTTCCGAGAAAAATTGAGTTTTTGAAACTGCTTTTGCAAATATTCTGATGAGCTAGGATGGCCCCTATTAGGAGGAGACGGGACTTCTTCACTGCTGATCAGGTACGAGAACTTGTGATGGACCCTGTTCCAACAGCCGACTCTGATTCAGAGGAGAGCGAGACTGACTCTGACGAGGAAGATGAGCCTGGTCCCACACGTACACTTTTGCGTAATCCCACAGAACATGATAATGGCGTGGACATCAATCACGATTCAGACAGCGAGTTTGAAGAGGAAATTAGGGATGATGTGTCGATGGTTTCAGCAGAGGATGAGCCTGAGGAGTGGATAAGACTGGAAGATGGAGATGAATGGCAAGCTGACTGGCTAGATGACTTCAGTGAAAATGGTGGACGACCAAAGCTTCTGTTTGATGTAAACCAGAACACAAAACCACTGGACTATTTCTATCAGTTTTTTCCTGAAGAGCTGTTTGTTCTAATGGCGAGAGAAACTAACCGGTATGCAAAACAAACTCTTCAGAGACTCGGAGTACTTCAGGAGCACTCACGCCTCAACAAATGGACCGATACAACTGCCGAAGAAATGAAGGCGTTCACTGGACTACAGATGGCGATGGGATTAGTTACCAAGCCAGCGCTGTCGATGTACTGGGAAGAGACCTGGATCTTCGCCACTCCTGGTTTTGGAACAGTGATGAGTCGCAACAGGTGGGAACATTGAATAATTTATACAGTTTATTTTATTCATATTTGCAATAACTAGTCATGACTATTATCAAAAATAGATCTCTTCAACTGTCAGCAATATGGGTAATTTTTTTATAATTTTTATTCTAAGTAATTTATCAAATGATTGATTAATTGATAATCATTGTGATAAATAAAAATGAAATAGATCTAGTTGTGGATCTATATGAAATAATGGGTTGAAATAATATAGATCTAACCATGAATACCAATCGCATTGTTTGTACATGTATAAATCAGACATTGAACAAGAGTAGGGATATGATATTTTGATTTTCTAAAATAAATGAAAAGTGAAATATGGTCTACATTAGCTTATAAACTAGGTGGAGTGCTAGCTATTTTCTTTTGCTGTTACGCTAAACATAAGCAACACGTCTGTTATATGGCGAGACTAGCAAACCGTGTGTGCAAAGCAAACACCGCCTATACTCACTCGTCCTACACTACTTGTTGTTTTCTTATTATCGCGAAATGGCGACGCAGGTTTTTCGTACGAAATCTAAAAAAGATTTCATCGTCCGTAATAATAAAACAAAAAGTAGCGTAGGATGAGTGAGTATAGGCGGTGTGTGCAAAGCACACACGGTTTGCTAGTCTCGCCATAAACAGACGTACTACTTACGTTTAGCGTAACAGCAAAGAAAATGGCTAGCACTCCGCCTAGTCTATAGGCTAGGTCTACATGAAACCCAGTTTAATTTTCAATTTACTTTTTTAATTCAAATTATCATATCATTGTTCTTGTAGGCCCCTAATCCGTATAAAACAAATGTGTTTGATTTGTGGTTATTTCAAGTAGATCAAGATCTATTTTTATTTCGGGCTGTCTGTTATGCTCATTTATCTTTCCCCCCCCCCCCCTATCACAAAATCATAATTAGAAATTCCAACTATCATGTCAAAAGAGTGCTGTTTCTAAAATAATGCACTTTTTTTTTCATTATAAGTTTAGATTGAATACCTCCATCTTATTCTCTGTTATGTGTAAGCATTGTTGCTAAATTTTTTTCTTCTTTTTCATTTCATGCAGGTTTGAGTTGCTGAACTCGATGCTACATTTTGCAAACAACGATGAACGCATCCCAAAGGGGCAGGAAGGTCATCACATCCTCTACAAGATCAAGCCTGTCATGGATAAAATTCAGCCTACTCACCAAGCTTCAGTTCAGCCAGGACTTTCCCTGTCTATCGATGAGAGCCTTGCTCCCTTCAAGGGCAGACTTCAATTCAAGCAGTACATGCCACTCAAGCCAACAAAGTGGGGTGTGAAGTTTTGGGTGCTAGCGGACGCCAAATCTGGATTTTGCCTTGACTATAATGTGTACACTGGACGAGACGCAGACAGGGCAGCAGCTCCAGGGGGCGTTACATCAGCCATCGTAAAAGGCCTCACTCGTCCATACTACGGTAGTGGCCGTCATGTGTATATGGACAATTTCTATTCCTCTCCTGAGCTTTATGACTCCTTAGCTGACAACAAGCTTGGTGCATGCGGAACTGTTCGATTGAGCCGCAGAGGTATCCCAGATGAAATGAAGGCAGCTTCAGTTCAGTCGAGAAAGGGAGATCGGCCAGCTTTCTTCAGGAAAGGACGTTTGCTGGGGGTATCATGGCATGATACGAAGCGTGTTAGTGTACTTTCAACGATACACAACAACTCAACAGTGCAGAAGGAAATCAGACACAGAGGATCTGAGAATGGCCGCCGATCAATAATCAAGCCGAAGGTGGTGGAGCAGTACAATCAACACATGGGCGGCGTTGACCTGTTGGATCAGAGGATGTCCTATTATCGGTACCCTCATCGCCACATGAAGTGGTATCGAGTAATATACCACTTTCTGATGGAAGTGGCATTGGTAAACGGACATATAGCATCAAGGATCGCTCCAGAAAATCAGTCCAAGGAATGTGTTCGGAGGTTCAGGCAGCAAGTAATCTGCGGACTTGTTGATGGCTACCAGAAGGTGAAAGCTGGGAGACCCAGAGTATTGCGCGAGGTGAATAGGAATGAAAGAACAGCTGTGAGACTGGAAGGTAAACACTTCATTGCCCTGAACCCCTCTCCAAAGTACAAGCCAGACTGCATTGTTTGTGCTAAGAAGTTAGAAGGAAACAAGAGGAAGAGGTCACAGACCCGATACTTCCGTAAGACTTGCCAGCTACCGATGTGCCTCATGATTTGTTTTGAGGACTACCACACCAAAGTGAAGTATTGGTAGGATTGAACAATGGTCAGAGACATGTATTTCAGATATGGTCAACGAGTACTTCAGTCGACAGCCTTGCCAGTATTTTTTCTCAATTATTTTTAATATTTTGTTCCAGATGTTCCGATGAATAATATTTTTTTGTATTGATGTATGATCGATATGTGTACAATGGCCCATTTCATTATCAAATTGATTATTCATCTGATACAAAACATTGCTATTCATGTACCTGTAGGTAGAACCATTTGGGCCATTCCATGGTAACTCGCGTTACACCTAATGGGTACATTGACACGATAATGTGCCTATATCTTTAGAACTGCTAGGATCTGCAAGATACTTTTTTCAAACATGGACAGGGTAGATATAGAACAACTGAATGAAACAAAAAAGAAAATTGAAGAACAAACATTTTTAGATTCTTGGATTATTGAATTTTGGTAACTCGCATTACAAAAAAAGGACATGGTCAATTCTATGAGACCCTCTTTTGGCAAAGTCTCCTCATACTAGACAATCTTGACAAAATCTTTCCTACGTTGATAGTAGGTTGAGACTTACTAGTATAAGATCACAATATTAAAGATAAGAAACAATGGACTAGTAAAATGCAGGAAGCAAATATGTCGGTAACTCACGTTACGGTAACTCGCGTTACGTTTTGTCCGGAGGCCATTTTCACCCCTATGTAATAGATTAAATATCCCAGGACTCCTTAGAAAAGGCTTAGAATATGGAAATATATTCATCTTTTTCAATTTAGCGAAATTTTCAGGAAAAAATATTACAAGAATCCTGTGTAATCTGCAATAATTTTTTTTTTTCCATCTACAGTCCCACATGTACGTTTTTGATGATGGTTTGAGATCTTAGGAAATCAACAAAAATGAAAAATAAATTGTATTAAATTTGAAAGGCCCTAATGTTTTATGAACATCCATGGCATAAGGTTAGTGATAAATCAAAGAATTAACATAAGAGGTACATTTCTTTTTTTGATGTCATGTCCTTCTTCTCATGGAATGGCCCATTTAGTATTTCTTATTGGCGTAAATATTCATATTTTGAATGATAGCACCATAAAAACTAACAACAACAACAACAACAACATGACAGGTTGTCACAACTACAATTCATGCAAAATGTAGTATGTTTCTACTCTTTGTTCACCTGCCATTATTTTGATTGCAAATTATATATATTTATTTATACATATGCAGTAATACTTTCATATTCTGATCTCATTTTGACAAGCAATGCATACAGTGAAAATGTTAAGTTTTTGTTATTCTTTGACATTTATATGCAATGTTGCCTTTGAAACTAAATAGTTACTGACTCTAATTCCGATTCCTACACAATGTAGTATGTTTCTACAGTTATGTAAATAATATGATACTTGCCCGTCTACTGCCCGTAAGTTGCCTAGTGCAAAATATTATTGTTCACTTGCCATTTTTTAAATATGAGACGTACATTTGTATATAATTTATATATGCAACGTTGCCTTTGAAACTTTAAATCCTGCAAACTGTAGTATGTTTCTATTGAAATAATATGATACTTGCCTGCCTAGTGCGAAATATTCACTTGCCATTATTTGAATATGGCATGCTGTCATAGTAACCGTTTGAAACAATATGTTTACATCATATGCAAATTTGCTTTTGAAACTGCAATACTTATAATGAGTCTGAGTCATGCAAAATGTAGTATGTTTCTAATCTGTATTCACTTTTTTTTTTTTTATTTTTTTTACGTGTGCAGTAATACTTTCATACTGCGATAACATTTTGACAAGCAATGCATACAGTGAAAATGTTAGGTTTTTGTTATTCTTTGAATACATAACTGTCATGACTGTGTCAAGTTTAATTTACATAATGGTCCATTATCTAAGCTATGATAAATAATGATAATGCAGTTATTTTGTTATGTGTTCTGATTTGTATACATTCATGATGTAATTTTTTGGTATGCTTTCACCAGGAAGCTGAACTAAATGTTGGGGTTGTGTGGAATAACAATGTACAATTTGATCTGCAATAGATGAATGCCTTATTTTCGGGTTGTGTGGAATAACAATATAGTTACAATTTGATATGCAATATATGAATGCCTTATTTTCGGGTTGTGTGGAATAACAATATAGTTACAATTTGATTTGCAAATTTGATTGTCTTGTGTCGTTTATTATTTTCAAAAAAGTGACTGTTTTTTTTTTATGGAGTTCTTATTCAACACTTTTTAGAGTGTGGTTGAGTTGTGGGATGAGATGAGATGCATGTAGAGAAGTTGAGTGACTAACAAGGAAAGTGTGGATGATAGAGAATTAAATAGAGTGAAAGCGTTTTGTAGCATTGAGGGAATAATTCAACATAAAGTACCCTAGCTCTCTCTCTTCGCCTGTCTCTATTTCTCTATACCTGACTTTCTCTGTCTCCGTCCCTTTTCCTTCTATCTCTCTCTTTCTATCTATCCGCCTCTCTGTCTGCCTGTCTCTTTCGCAATCTGATTGTCTCTTTTCTCTCTCTCTCTCTCTCTCTCTCTCTCTCTCTCTCTCATTTCTCTCCCTATCTGCCTGTCTCTTTCTTCTTCCCCTCTCCCTGCCTATATCTTCTTTTCACTCTCACTTTCTCTATCTGCCGCTATCTCTCTCTCTCTCTCTCTCTCTCCTTGTTTCTTATTTCTCTCTGCCCCTCTGTATCTTCTCATCCTCACTTTCTCTTTCTGCCTTTCTTTCTCTGTCTGCCTATCTGTCTTTCTCTCTCCGTGTCTCTTCTTATTTATATCCCCATCTGCCTATCTCTTTCTTCTTCCCCTCCCCCTCTATCTCTATCTTCTCACTCTCACTTTCTGTATCTGCTTATCTCTTTCTTGCTCTCTGTCTCTTGTTATTTCTCTCCCTATCTGCCTGTCTCTTTCTTCCTCCCCTCTCTCTGCCTCTCTCTATCTTGTTCTCACTCTCATTATCTCAACCTGCCTCTGTCTTTCTCTGTCTGCCTATCTGTCTTTCTCTCTCCGTGTCTCTTCTTATTTATATCCCTATCTGCCTGTCTCTTTCTTCTTCCCCTCCCCCTCTATCTCTATCTTCTCACTCTCATTTTCTGTATCTGCTTATCTCTTTCTTTCTCTCTCTCTATCTCTCCCTGTCTCTTCTTATTTCTTTCCCAATTTGCCTGTCTCTTCGTTCTTATTCTCTTTCTTTCTCTCTCCCTCTCTCTGTCTACCTCTTGTTATAATGAACATGTCAATATGAGACTACATATGTAGACGAATATATTTTATTCTTATTTATTATACATCAGCTTTCTACAATTCATAACTTAGTACATGTTTCAAGCATACATTATGTTCATGGCTTGCCTTATTAGTGTAGAAAATCAATAAGTTCTTCTATTCATTTCTTTCAATTCTAATAGCTTGCACAGCCTTGCAAGTAATAATAGAATGTTACACCATCTTACCTACAGACACAATAAAGGTCATCAAAGTACAATCAAGAGACAGGAAGTCTATTCAAAAGTACCCAGGGTCAATTTCAATAGGAGATTAGTTCATTGTCGGCTTACTCTTTATTCAATCCTAAATTACCAGGCTCATTGTGACCTTCAACACAAGAATTTGGTATGTAGTGAAAGCTCATGAATACATCTTTTCAATGAACTAACTCAGGACATAAACCTCCATAACAAAGTATTAGATATAAGAGGTATAGAATACCCTTCTAAACGAAAACTTGGATACAAAATGTATAGTTGATAATCTCAAAATTTATGATAATATACATTACAAAAATGATACCATTGGCAAGACTATTAATTTCTATACAATATTGCTACACAAAGTTTTTCATTACAGTACACCAATCAAAAGTAATTGCGAGTTGAATAAGCATAGTCCATGCAGAACCCCTCCTAAGGTGGCACCCTAAAAACAATGTGGCACAGGGGGGATTGTGTACGTGGCGGGCAAAGAGTTAACAGTCATTAACATTGTAATTTTTAAATAAAAACTTGAGTGTATACATGTCCTGTATATGTATTTTTTTCTTTCAGGGAAGGGTCTCTAATAAAGGTGCAGTATGTTAGCAAATATAAAGGAAGACATTTAAGTGGGAAGGAACTTGACAACTTAACCAATGAAACGTACCTATATGTCTACCGACTTAATGGCAAACTACATGGGTAAGCAGGAAACTTCTCTTTTATCTTCTTGTCTGACAAATGTTCATGAAGAGAATATTCATTTACATTTGATGTACCGGTATGCAAATCTTTCTGCCTCCATATTTTGTTGTTGTTGTAGTTTTTTTTTTTTTTTTTTTTTTTGTTTTTTTTTTGGGGGGGGGGGGTGTCAGTGTACATGCTGAAGTTTGGATTCTGGGTCATACCATTTGGTTACAATTTTGGTTTACATTTTGATGCAATAAATTGTCTTTCACCTGCACCCCAATACTTTGTTTAGATAAAGATATGATAAAACAGTAAAATGGTCTAACTAGAAGATAGACCATTTAACCATAGTATGGCAATATGGTTTATGGTCTAAAGTTAAGATAGACCATTTTACCAATATGGTAATAGTGTTTATGGTGTATCTAGAAGATAGACCATTTTACCAATATGGTAATAGTGTTTATGGTGTATCTAGAAGATAGACCATTTTACCATTTTATGATGTGTAATGGGAGTGTATTCATGTGCTGTGGTTAAACAGTCTATCTGCACAAAAATCTCATTTATTTTATAATTAAAACCCCAAATAAGCACAAAATTCTTCAGTTATCAGTGTTTAATATGCTTCTTCTTGTCCCATTGCTAAAAATGGAATTACCAATCTCCTAAAAAAGCTCATTTTTCTCAGAACAGCGATTTTCGAGATAGACCGTTTTACCATCTGACGGCCGAGGTAGTAATTGCCAAGGTGCATGATTTTGGCAGAATGCATGACATCAAGCCAGCGATGGATGTCCTATTCAAGTCGCACCACGTGTTTGGCTTGGAATTAGCTCGCCCACTCAGGGGTACTGTAGAACTCCTGCTGAAACACCCAGATATTCATCAGTATGTTATCAGTGACCATATCAGCACTGGTTTTGTTTTAAGAGATTTTCGTGAAGGCAAATTGTTCATGGACAATCTTCTCTTTCAGAAAGACAAAAATGCTTTACAACTGCATTGTTTCTATGATGACTTTGAGACTGTTAATCCTTTGGGATCGAAATCAAGTATACACAAACTTTTTTTTAAAATTTATTTATATGTT